GGCTGATGATGGCTCGACCAAAGTATCAACACCTGGCAGATTGCATGGTCCCTTTATCGAAAAACGGATGATTCCTTGAATCGTTTGACCCAGGTCTCCAAGAAAGGATCGGAATTTCAACATCTAAAAAGCTTGCGCATTTCCAGCTACAGGAACATTTTGTTTGGATCTAACAAAAGATCAAGGGCTGAACATCACCAGCTCTAACACATCATTCTTTGGAAACATACATACACACACACATACATATATATATATGTATAGTGTATTTAGGCATACACATACATATATATATATGTATAATGTATTTAGGCATACACACACATATATATATTATTAACCTTGATTAACCATGAACCATAAACCATTGTTTAAAACATTCCACTGCTTGAGCATCGCGCCTCGCCCTGTCCACCGGCACGAGCGCCCAGGGCAAGAGGCGGCAAACATGGCCTTGGTGTCACAGTGCAAGGCCGGGATTTTCCGGGGAATTTCTCAGGATGTCATGAATCTCTCTCTCTCTCTATATATATATATATTGAGCATATGTATCTATATATATATATATGTAATGTAATGTAATGTAATTCAATGTAATGCAATGTAATGTAATGTAATGTATGTATGCATCTATAGCTTCAAGTTGAAGTGAAGACGCCACTATATTCGTGTGTATGTATGTATTCGTGTGTTCTATCTTCCAAACTGCGACATGGTGTCGAGGGATATTCCAACATTGGCCGGAAAGTGCAGTCTGTGGCCACACATGGTTCACATCACAAACTCGTTGGTTAATGTTGGTAAAACCTTAAAACACGACCCGTCTGTTCACCCCAAAATAGTAGGTAATGAGGGATGTTCACCCGCAATATGGCAGAGAACAGGTGCATATTCCCATCATATCCCGTTTTTGATGCTTAGCTGTTCATACCCATGAATCCCCATGAAAACCAAGTAATCCCCAGCAAAATATCTATAACTTGATCCATCCGCAATCCCACTAAGCTTCCCCCACGATGACCAGCGGCCTCCGCTGAACTTCCTGTGCCGGTTCCGACAACTTCACATTCGTAATATGCTAAGGTTTGCTGTTTGCTGAAGAAAAAAAATATCAGCAAATTCCATCCAGTTCATATTCTAAGATTCGTCCATTAGAATTTGAAATCTGATCTATAATCCATCGAGTTATTAATCAAATTATAGATCCGTTTATATCCAATCAGTCAGAATATGGATTGTTTATAGATCAGAATGGATGCCCCAAATGAATCAGTGAAATAATCCATTATAATAATCCATCCAATGGATTTTTATCCCCAATGGATATAACAATCCATTGTAGATCCATTTATATCCATTTATAGATCAGTGAACATGGATCATAATTATATTGTAGATATTTATAGATATTTATCATCTTTATAGATCCTCTGAAAAAATATGACAGTCAGTTGGGATCATTATTCCCTATATATGGAAAAATAAGATTCATGTTCCAAACCACCAACCAGATTAGTTAAATAAAATGGATCATTCCATCCAATCAGAATTGATCCCCCAAATCCACCGGAGAAAACAGAAGGCTCCTCAGCAGCCACAGCCCAGCATCTCGGACATGCCTTGCGGAAAATAAAAGCAGGGTCCGGGTGTTTCGACGCCTTAAGGATGGATGGATGGATCATGTGATTCAATACATATATATATATAACTATAGATATATTAATAATATATATATTATTAATATATCTATAGTTATATACAAAAATATATATACACATAATATATATATATATATACACATGATTTTATTCATTTCAATCCTTGTTGTTCGGTTGCCATACAGTTGTTCAGTTGTTCGCCCCGCCTGACCAGGGGAGTGTCCGTCACCGATCTCAAGACCTGAAGGACATCCCAATGTTTTGGAACATGACATGACGACATGACCTAGGTTTCTAAACATGGCTTGCTGGACAATCCCAAATTTATAGATGTTTTTTTCCCATTAAAACCATGATTAAAAAGACTATTAAAAGTTCATTTCGTGAGGGGATTTTCCAGCAAGCCATGTTTGATTACCAGAACAAAACAATTTCTATGACCTGTAGATCATCTGTAGATCCCCGGCAAATTCATGGCATGTGTCATGGCTTGTGTGTCATTTTGTGTACCCGGCCTGGTAAACGTTTACATAACGAACTGGAAAGATCCACCATTTTCAATGGGTAAATCCACTATTTCTATGGTCATTTTCAATAGCTATTTTGACATAACAATAGGGTATCATCCCCATTCATAGACTTCAAACTTCGCTGGGGCACCTGAAAGACTTCACGCCGAAGCTTCAACTGCAACTTCCAGAGCTCCTCAAATCCACTTTTCGATGGGTGAAATTAGGGTTTAACCACAAAAGATGCAGGGTTTAGCGGTTAAACCAAGCCACACATTGGGATATTCCCTTGTTTTTTTGGATTGGTTTGATGGAAGATGGGAACCTCGACTTGTTTGATGGGAAACCGTTAGATTTTATGGAAAAATCAATGCTTTCATGTAGATTTTCCCTGTAGAAGCAATTCATTGATCCATATGGGCACGGGGGAAAAATAGGGCAACGGACTCACAAATGGCTGGTCATGTTCGGGATCTACCAAACCATCAATTTTCGATACCTGGGTACCCTGTAGTTCACATCAAAAACGTGTCCAAAAAACAGAACTGTAGTTCATATATGTTCATATATGTTCATATCCTACAAAGATAGTAGGTTTTGATCAATCCTGATATTTGTGGCAATTTCAATGGAGGACATGAGGAAAATCATGGGGTTCCCCAAGTTCACAGGCCAGCGTGTCAAAGTGTACACAGTGTATGCAGTTCTGCAAGAATTTGGTAACTGGTAGTATTCATCATGTCACTTCCGGGAAAGTACGGCACATCCGAAATCGATTAGCACATTCCAAGTCCGAATCGATCAAGAGTTCAAAGCAGAGGTCAAGCAACGTGTGATCCAGGACAGTTACATAAATCACATAAACAGGTACATAATTCAAACAAGCCAAAAACTGCAATCCTTCCTTAAACTCTTGGAAGGACTAGTGTTTTCAAATCAGGTGGTTTCCATCCAGCCGTGGCAAGCTGGCAAGTCCTCATTGAAACTGTAATTATACATGTATATATATAATATACAATATCATACACTATATATATATAGCAAGTCCTCATTGAAACTGGAAAGAACTTGTTCTGGAAGTAGCAGAAAGGTGAGCACGATCACCTCAAGGCCGTGCCGTGAAGGTGCCGGTTTCGGAGTTCGTATCCTGCCCCATTTTGGTATCAAACATGTTGAAACAAAATAAACCCCATACGTCACAATGTATATATATAAGGTATTATATGTATATATATATATACATACACATGCACGATATCTTCTTTTGGACCATCCCAAACATGATCTTTGCTCAGGTCCACGCCAAAGCAGACACCCAGCCACTGGGGAAGCGGCTGGTGGCATCTGCGAAGCCCAACGGTGGACGAAACCAAGCGTGGATGAAAACAGGATTCTCTGTAATTATACATATATATATATAATATACAAAATCATACACTATATATATAATTATCTATATAATATAAATAATGCAATATATATATATGTATATATATATATATAATACAACTTCTATCCATCTATCTATCGATCTATCAGTGTATCAACTTCTCAATTAATATCAGTGTATAAATCAATCAACCAATCACTCAATCTAGCGATATTTTAAAGTCCTTGAGCATCCAGAGATGGCCATCAGCGCCTCGATAACTCCCTTCCATGGATCATCAGGCGACTAAGGCGACTGACAGGACAGTTTCCCCCAATGGGGAATTGTCGGTTGAAGGATGTTGAAGGATGTTGACTTGTGGGAAGGCCTTGAATTTTCTGAGACTCAAATGCTTTTTTTTGTGGTCAAGAAAGACTTGGCTTGCTTTGTTCCAAAAACCAGACTGATTGATCTCGGCGAAAAACACCTCACATATATTGTTCCTAAGTGTGTCTTTATCTATGCCCAAAGCGAGTCTTACTCTATCAGTGATCCTGAGAGTTCATGTGTAATGAGCTGTCGTTTTATCTCCGTGGTAAAGGTCATGGCTGTGGGAACTGAAGTCAGCCTGACCCTAGCAGAGACACGAAGGTTGCCACGCTTAAGCGATCTGGAAAAGATAGCAATGATAGCTGCAACATTGCGCCTCCCTGCACATTTCCAGCGTTCCAGGAATGTCACACATGTCTGCGCTAGCGGTACCTACAAGTCAGAGAGGGTCTGGCAAGCAGCCAAACATGGAGGCCTTTCCTTCGTTGACGAATTGTTGTCCACTTGACCCTTTCAACACTCTGACTCCTCCCAGCTTTTCCGGGAGATGTAGTGAAGCTCTTCGGACTTCTGCGAAATGGGTCAATGGTGTGAACAGCGCAAGAGGTTTGTGGATGTGATCATCGTGTATCATGGGCTCAGCTTTTTTCGAAATGATAATTGATGACAAACAATGGAACACAACAAGTTCCCTAAATACCAATGGGTGCTAGCCACACCTTGAGTCTTGTACCAGGGCAGTCACTGCTCCCGGTTGAAGCTGTGATGCAATGACACCACCAAGGCATCATAAGCATTTTTTTCAGAGCTATTCTCTGATACATTCGTTGACGAAAAAGAGCATCAGAAATCCTTCACCAATCAGTTTCCGGCACATCCTTGACAATGGAGCACTGCCAGGGGCGATGAATCGTCAAGAGTTGCCCCTGGGAAGGACAGGTTACAGAGTTACACATACACAGCTACACACACAAATGAGTGGCTAGTGACTATGTCTTGCCATCGATTTTTTTCGGGTTTTCTTTGCAAAACAATTGGAATCCACCATCCCCAATGACTTACCGGCCTTCTATGGGTGGTTTCTCAACACCGATTGCGGGCTAGGTGTCCAACAGCACGTCCCGTCCAGGTTTCTTAGCGGCGTAGGTTCCTTCGCGGTCATGGCTGGCTGGAACATCCACGGTACTTATGGTTGATGTTCCCATCCAAAACCTGCATGAATTACTCATGAGATGCGATCATGTTTGAATTTTGTGGGATATGATCCTTTTGGGATATGAATTCTATCCCCCAAAAGGGCACCGCATGGCACTGCTGGTGGTTTCTCACCTTGCCATTTTAAGCCTTCCTTGGGACACAGTCATTCGTGGCTCACAGGTTTGAGATCATGATCCGTTACAAAGGGGTATAACTGTGAATATGATCGCATTCCTTGAACCAGAGAATACACGACTCTGCCTAGAATATTAATAATATTCTAGACTATCAGACATATTAAGAATCTAAAAATCATATGATTTGCTCTGCCTATTCAGACCTCAGATTCATCTGTACCCTCTGGTAAACTAACATAACTATGGAAAATCCCCATTTTCAATGGGAAAATCCACTATTTCTATGGTCATTTTCAATAGCTATTTTGACATAACCAGAGGGTAGACCATCCCATGTTTCTGACCAACGACCACGGCGTCCCGTCGGTCCCGTTGCTCCCGGGTTTGGCCGTTGCCGCTTTGGCCTTTGCCGCTTTCCGGCGCTTTTGGGCCTCCTTTTGGGCCTCCTGCGCCTGGCTTCCAACCAGATTTTCTTGGGGAAACCACCATTTTTTGGTGTTTTGTTGTTTTTTAAAGTGGGAGTTTACATTTTTTTTCACATGGGGATTTACATTTTTTATCCCTTATCTATGGGGATTTAATGTGATTTTTGCGTATGCACAAAAAATACATTTCGATGTGTGTTAAAAGGTAATGACATAGAGAAAAGGTCAGAAGGCACTACATGGACTTTCTTTATGATATATCTTTTGCATAGCGTACTCAACCATGTCTTCTACTATGTCATCCATGTCTTCATGAAATGCATTCATGTTTCATTTCCCTGAGAATATGAAGAATTGATGCGACATCAACAAGCTTGTGACATGATGGACATGGATATGAAGGAATTCCATCATGTCCATCATGTCCCATACTTTTGGGCATCCCCAGTCATTCCCAGTGCCGTTCCCTGCCTCCCTCAACTCATCGCGCTCTTTGGTGAGGGCTTTCATCAAACCTGCGCGCTTGCAGATTTTGGGGATGGGACAAACATGGATGGCTAACATATGCTAATACAATACATATATATATATATGTATATATATATATATATATGTATATATATATATGTATATATATATGTATATATATATATATGTATATATATATATGTATATATATATGTATATATATATGTATATATATATATATTTGTTAAGATTAGACTAGTTATGCTGGTGCTCCGAGTCTGAACTTTTGACCCTGACTCAGTTCTTTCTTTTCTCAAACGTGATACAAAATGAGACTAACTTTGCAATGAATGTCACCGGTTTTGGACCAGATATCAAGTTGGGGCCCGAGAGAAGATGGGTGTCCTATTCGTGCAATAGACTCATCATCTCATCCAACCGGCGCCTGTTTCAGAACATTGAACCAGATTGGTCAAAAGGGATCCTCTGGTCCCCTTCAAATCCACTCCAAGTCTTGGTTTTTTTGATCCATGCAGCATCTGGCATGATGATTCCGTGAAAACCTCAAGGTTGACCCCTTTGATCCTCAGCAGGTATCAACCAACGGAACTGCTGAGCGGAACTGCCTTCTGTTCTCACTTTGTCATCTTCCAAGAAGAGCAGCTGTCTCTTCAGGTCCTGGCACCGGTTTCAATCCTGGACACAGCCAGATTTGGATGATCCAAACTGGGATGTAAAAAACACCAATCAAATCTGGTCACTGATATCGATCATCCCTTACCTAGCGGACCGGGAAAACTGACCCCTAGCAGGCCCTAGCATTGAGGAATGCCACAAACTTGAAGTTGCATCCGTAATCGTTTCTTTGTTTTCCCCACACTCATCCATATTTTTTCGAAAGGAATCGAATGGACGAAGTGCGCCCCAACTTTTTCTGCTGGTCTTCCTGAAAGTTTCTCAGAATAAAAGAATGCCATGAGCAAAATTGTTCCGGATTCTGACATGTCAATAGAAACATGAAGCAGTTTCCAAACATGAGATTGCGCAGAGATTCTTCCAATCACTGGATTGGTTTAAGGGAAAATTTACAGGAAACCATGGTTTTTACCATCAAATATAGGGCTTTCCTGTAAATTTTCCCATCATCCAATTCTATGATCCAAGAGAACCCGAGAACATCCCATATGTTTATTGGTTTGGCTCCTCCACATCTGCATGCATCTTGTAGTTCTCGCGTTCCGTCTCCATGGACTTCTCCCTTGGAAAATCATGGCAAATGCTGTGATGATGTGTGATGATCAGTGATGATATGTGATCTGGTTGTGTGATCTGGTTGGTGGTTGAGCCTACCCCTCTGAAAAATATCATATAATCAATTGGGATCATGACATTCCCAATATGATGGGAAAGTCATAAAATTCCATGGTTCCAGTCACATATTCACCATCATTATCCACCATTAACCACCATTATCCACTATAATATTTGGCCATTGGCGTAGAAAGTGAATGGAACCTGGGTCGCCTACATCGCTTTCTCAGCCTTGGCAGTGGCCTGGAAGGTGGCGAAAGGGGCACCTATGAAAGCATCAAGCTATGCCTATGGAGTTGTCATACATATGTGTCTATCTACATATGTATATATATATATACATATTTATAGCACAATATATTATCTACATACTATATATTAGACAATCATGTATCAGTATGATGTTATATATATATACCCTCTGGTTATTTAACATAGCTTTGGAAAATGGCCCATTTATAGATGATTTTCTTATTAATACCTCTATTTATAAGGGATTTTCCATAGCTATGTTAAATAACCAGATGGTATATATATATATATTCATTTTTCACATCGAGTAGTTGCCGGTTTCACGGCTCAGAACTGGAGAACTGGTCCTGTGACTTCTCTTCGGTCAATCTGGCCACTTCTTGGGTGAGATCCTGGGAAGCTGGAACTGCAGGACATGAAACATGGCTCAGTTTATTGGTGAATTCCAATTTAATCAATTGAATCAACACATTGATGAAACCATGGGTTATTGATTAACAAAAAAATAATCTATTGTCATTCTTATTATCATCATTATCACTTTGAAACATTTGAAACTCTTCAAGTTTATTGGGTGAACCTTTTTCGGAGATCTATCGGCTCGAGGTCAGCCACTTCACTTGCTTGAACAGACAGGAAGCAAATCATCTGCAGAATTTGGGGACATCCACTGGTGAGTCCGCTTCTGCAACAGGATAATACTCAACAGTTACTTCCCCAGGTCGACGTGGGAAACCACCAAGCTGATTTGAAACCACCAAATCATCATTTTCATGGTGAAATCCAGGTTGGCTCGATTCCTGTTGGGATTTCTGCCCGCAAATGGGAAAACCTGGAAATTGTGGGGAACACAGAATCCATTCATATCTCCATGCTGGACACACTTGATGGCGCATCTTTTTTGGGGGTTTAGGGTTTCGGGTTACATCCAGCCAGCCCAAGCTCAGTAGCACAGTCGTCCTCTTCGCGGCTCTGTTTCTGAACCGCTTGGGTCTTGGCCAGAAGCAAATCCTGCCTGACAAAGTGATATGGCCATGTGGAACAGTCATGTTCGTATAGCAATAATAAGCCACCCATATTCTGATGGTTTATAGCACCCATTTATGGTAAAATTGTGGTTTATTATTGCTTTACCAACAGTAGGAGTATTTTTCCTGTTCACGGCAAACTGGCTAAGGATTGATGGATGTTTATCATCCGCAATGGAATGGTTTGGAATGGTTTTGACACACCATATATGCTGGTTCCCAATCCAAAAAATCTCTTAGTCTGCTGGGATTATCATCCTAAATAAGCTTGACAATTGAAACATCAAGCAGGATTATTTCAAAGTGAATCGCAATATTCAACCCATTCAACTGACTTCCTTCTCTATCAGGAATCCTTACAACAAACGCTAAGCAGGTGCTACACATTCCACAAAAATAGCCTTGGGTTCGGGTGTGTGTTTGAACTCGCACACTCAAGATCACTTAAGTTGTCTGTCTGCAAGTCGGTTTGGGTGGGATGTTTACATTCCCTTGAAGGTGTAATTACATGTAATTCTTAGCACGTGGGGTTTTTAGTTGGTTTGACACAAGACTCACGTATTGCCGGGTCTTGTGGATTGGACCTTCCAGGTCGGCTTGTCGAAATGACTGGTACTGATTGGTGACAATAAATTGTAAACACCACCTTTAAGCTACAGATCACTTAAGCATTTGTGGACCCGTTGAACATTTTCTATGCTGATTAGAATCTGCACACAAACAAATCATATCTTCAGATCGAACATTTAGAATGGACAAAGACTTTCCTCTCCGTGTATATAAATATGTCGCACAATGTTGCATGTACACATTTATAAGAGCTTCGAAAATTCCAATGCAAACACATTTATAGATATTTATAGTATTTTATATTGATACACCATAAAATATCATAAAATCATATATAAATCAAGATTATGGTATACCATTTATCTAACATTTATAGATCCACGGTACAAATCAATGCTACCCACATCAGGTGCGTTGCCGCCGCCTCAACACGTCACAGGAATCCCGAGAACTCCGAAGCTCGATCCTGGGAGCTCGGAAAAATTCTCCAGAAACGGTTTCATTGGGATATTACCCTCTGGTAATTTAACAAAAAACTATGGAAAATGGCCATTTTTAATGGGAAAACCATGGGAAAACCATGGGAAAATGGTGATTTATATGGAAAATGGAAAATGGCCCAGTCGAAATAGTGAGTTTTCCCATTAATAGCATGGTGATTGTAACATAACGAACTGGAAAGATCCACCCATGCTATTAATGGGAAAACTCACTATTTCGACTGGGCCATTTTCAATAGCAAACTGTTAAATTACTAGAGGGTCATATTCCATGAATATTCCATTACAATCCCATGATCCCATGCTTGTCCAATATCCGATGATTCATTCTTTACCATGGGTTAATATTCTTGGTAAAGACTAGCATTAATATGGTTAATGGAACATTATCTTGATATTAATGGGTTAATGGATAATGTTCCATTAATATCTCATTCTTGTCTTATCCCATAATTATCTGCTTTTTGGTGCTGACTTTGTCGCCAAGCAACTGCAAAGTACGGTGAGCCCCTCGAAGCTCCGCCAGCTCTTCCACGGAACTCTCTATCTGGGGACAAGGGAAACCACCTTTGATCCTGAAAAACCGCCTGTGGGTGGTTGACTGGCTGCCAAAACAATATCTGAACATACTTGGTCAATTAGGGTTGATCATAGGGACAATTACAAAGGCTTTTTTTTCTGCCAAGCATTCACTGGACATCTCTGAATCATGTGGTTGTTTCACAAAGACTATCATCATCAAATTTGAAACATGACTTGCAGATTGGGTGATCTTTCGTCTTAATGCCTGCCTGGAACATCGAAAGTCGTCACATCTCGATTCGGGGCATCAAAATTGGGCACCCCTCCCATGGTGTATCTTCATTACCAAATATTCCTATCAACATGTCGTGGTTTCTCAGAGTTTCTCATCATTTTCCTATCAAAATGGCCATAACATGATGGTATCCTCCATTTTTCCTGATTATTGGGCCACACGGGCCTTGGTTTGCTGCTCCATGTGGTGAGCATATTCCTGGCAGCTTCTGTGACCATGGCACCATTCGAAACCACGTCCCGAAGGCTTGGAATGGAAGGTGATCTTCCAACTATCGTCAAGTCAGAGATAAATATTGCTATGCATCAGTATATATATATATACATATATAAACATATATTAAATAAACAAATAAACATATATATATATATATATCTAAATTTATTTAATATACACATATATCTATATCTATCTCTCTATATATATATGCATATATATATATATATTCAATGTATATAATATATTCAATAAACATAATATTACCCACAGACGCCGTGTGTTGCCCAGACATTAACATTGAGAATGTCGTGCTGATGAATATATGATAGGAGATTGCAGAAAATACTGCGTATACGCAGTGTTTTCCAGTTTAGGATTCAAAGCTTTCAGAGCCTAGGTTTTAGGGTTTAGGGTTTCAGGGTTTGGGGTTTTAGGGTTTAGGATGGTTTAGGGTTTTAGGGTTTGGGGTTCGTCGTCTGGGAAATCTCAAAACACTGGCCCTGCGCAGGTGTTTGAGCATGTTGAAGGATAATGTTTAAACATGTTCAAACGCCATTTGAACCTTCCGGGCAACACACAGCGCCTGGCCGTATTGTTATTATATATATATATATATCGGTATGTTTTTTTTTAATATGTAAAAAAACACATCCTGACCTTGAACACGGAAATGTCTCCCAGTCGGGACAGTGTCCTTGCGCAGGGTGTCGAGATCCTCTTTTAACCAGGAAGCTTCTTTCAAGACCTGGTCGCGGACGTCGATGCGATGTTGGCATGGGGAATCCTTTATGACAATATGGTGAGGATATGGTGAGAAATGCATTCTTTACGACAAAACTGACTTATAATATGTGAATATACGTGAATATAAGTGAATATGTCTGAATATATGAATATATGTGAATATATGTGATAATGATTCTGACATCTCATGATGCTAGAGTAATAACTCTTAATTTTTCAATCATGGATTGCTAATGATCATCGATGGTCGATGCTTTTTTTGGCGTTTCAATCATCATGCTGACTGTAGGCGAAGGTGGTGATGATGATGAACAAACGTGTTACTGTATCAAGTAGTCTTATTGTGTTTATGTGGATTGAACAATTTCACCAGCAACATATTGGGGATCATGGGTTACCCTCTGGTAAATAAACATAGACCCTGAAAATCACCCATGTTTAATGGAAACTAGTCTTCCAACCCCTATCTGCCAGGGTCCATGTTAATTTACCAGAGGGTAAATGGTAAAGGAAAACCAATGATCCCCGCACAGCCACGATCGCCACCAAGCAACGGCGTGAGCCAACCAACGCCAACAGCAACTTTCTCCTGGCCATTCGCCAGAGTAAAGAAGGATATGTTTATCTTGGTGTCTTAGTGGTAGTTCCACTCCCACAGAAACACATATCATATCACACATATATATATATAACATATACATGTATATACATATATATATATATATCTCATATACATACATCTGTGTCCCTCATCCGAAATATGGTTAACAATGAAAACCAGTGGCTGCCTGGTCCTGGGATCGAAGAACATTCCGCATGGTTTATGACTCGGTTTATCACATTACCGGCGTTATCAAATATGGGGATAACGGGGGGGGGATATTGACTCAATTGACATATTAATCAGGATATCATGTCCCATGATAATGGGGATAACGTGATTCCAATGGATTATTGGGACCATCCATCATGTAGATTATAGCTTGTAGAGAATGATTATGGAACTTATGTAGATCAACCATGCATGAATCTAATCCATTATTATCTGGTTGGTGGTGCAATAACCATCTTGAAACATATTGATCAATGGGAAGGATGACATCCCATATATGAAATGGAAAATAAATTTCATGTTTGAAACCACCAACCAGTTATGTCATTAACCACTATTAACCACTACAAACCACCATTATCCACCATTATCCACCATTATCAACCATTATTAACCAACCATTAATCCATTATTAACCAACCATGGATGATCACCCATAATCCATGGCATTATGTCAGCAAAACCATCATGAAAACCAGCACTATCCACCATTAGTCCATGGCATTAACCAGCCATTTTACCCTCTGGTTATGTCAAAATAGCTATTGAACATGACCCAGTCGAAATAGTGGATTTTCCCATTGATAGCATGGTGGATCTTTCCATATAAATCACCATTTTCCCATGGTTTTCCCAATAAAAATGGTTTAACCCCCCATGAATCAGTCGATGGCTCCGCACCGGAGACCTTGGTCACAGTTGTCCACATGCGATGGAAGAGTAAGGACCTCGGCGCCATGGCCATCGCTGGTGGTGATGGCCATAGATATTCCAAAAAAAAAACGAGGTAAAGTCTGATGGGTTATTATTTACTATCATGAAATCAGAGTTTTTGTTGCAGATTCCAGTTTATTGAAACCTATCTAACTATATCTAATTATGTCTAACTATCATCATTATCATTATTATGATGTCTAATGTCTAATTATCATTTACTATCACTATCTATTATCATTAATTACTATACTTATCTAACTATCAGATAGTATACTGACTATAGTTATTCTTTACCTACCTGATAGTTATTACCTATTATAACTATCAGATAGTTATGGTTGGAAAATTCTGCTCCAACAGGTTCCCCATGGCTCGGGAATCCTTGGTTTCCTGGCACGACGCCCCGACAGACCCAGCTCGGCAGGGAGAATGCGTCGCCCAGCTGATGAAGGCCTGGAAGGCAATCTTCAAAGATCAATGGGATTCTTAATGTGGTTTCATGGGATTTTACTGTGGATTTTAATGTGGTTTCACGGGATTTCCATTGGAATTCATGGGATTGTAATGTGGATTTAATGTGGTTTCATGGGATTTCTATTGGAATTCATGGGATTTTAGGCTGCACGTTGATGTGGATTCATAGGATTTCTATTGGAATTCATGGTATTTCAATGTGGATTTTAAAGGGTTTGATGCGATTTCTATCAGAATTCATGGGATTTTAATGAGAATTTAACGGGAGTCTTAATGAGATTTCTGTTGGAATTCATGGGATTTTGAATGGGGATTGATGGAGATTTAATAGGATTTTTATATGGATTTAATGGGATGTCTATTGGAATTGATGGGATGCATGGAATTTTCAATGGGATTTCATGGGGTTCATGCAGATTTGTATTGAATTTCTGGTCATTTTCTATTCTTGAATCACGTTTTTTAATGAGAAACGATCTTATTTTGGGTAGCCTTGGTAAAATTTGGCGGTGGTATCCGCAGTCATTGAAAAATCCGAATGCGGGGGCAGCCCATTGGAACTGGGGAACTTTTGTGGGAAAAAAATGCAGAAACTCTTCGCAATACCAATTCTGGTTGGTGGTGCAATAACCATCTTGGAGGGTATGAGTTCGTCAATGGGAAGGATGACATCCCATATATGAAATGCAAAAAAACATGTTCCAAACCACCAACCAGATATCTCATTAACCATTATTAAACACCATTATCCACCATTAACCATTAACCAGCCATTTATGTTTACCCCATGTATATTCCAACCTGGCACTGGATAAGCCATTGATGGAACCCCTTCGGCAGCGCACCTGTTGTGGTGCTGTTGTCTGGTCATCAAACCTTTGTAGCTAAGGCAGCTTTGACCTGGACGTTGACGCTTGATATCCCACATGTTTCTCACATTTTTCTACCGTTTTGCCATGTTTTGCCATGTTTTGCCATGTTTTGTTAGCAATCTTTCGACCGTTTCACCAATTCATATCGAAGCAGTCTGCACCTCCATCCCCTTCACTGCGACGACTCTGTGCACCTCACTGGAAGCTACTTTGAGTTCCAAAAATGTGCTGATCAATCATCATGATCATGATCATGATCCTCATGATCCTCATGATCCTCATGATCCTCATCCTCATCATCATCAACAAGAAACAAAACAAAACCAAAACCACCTCGAATTAAATCCCACTGCACAAACGGCACTCATTCCTGGGCTTCCGCGCTCTGCGGCCGAACCCTGGTGTCCAAATTTTTGGAGATGAAAAGAAACCACTGGTGGTAGTTATTTTTTGATGGATTTGGTGAATCTCTATATCTAAGTCTATCTATGTGTATATTATTATGTGCTTATATCTATGTATACATATATATATATATTGCATACACACATACACACACATACATATATATATATATATACACAATATGTTTGGTACAATGGATCCTCACTCTTGTTGCTTTATTAAAATCCCAATTTTACTCCAATGAAACTTGTCGGACCTGGCACTTTGAGGACGACTGGGAACTTTGATGGTTCTTGGAGACGCACCTGGCGAACTGAAAACCAGCGCCGATTTTACCATTCGACATTGAGATTCCACAACGAATGCAAACGAAAACCGTTCGAAAATTGGGATTTCGCTTGCCTCACATCAGTGATAACTGGCAGTGAACGAGAGAACACATCAAACTCAACTAAACGAGGTGTTTCAACATATCAAACTCTATGAACTCAGAATCTAGATGCCAAAGCTGTCATTTTAAGCATTCCTCCAAACATGGACCCATGGACAATGTGAGGTCGAGGTTGGGAACATTCTGAGGCTTGATCCAGGCAAGCAACTACATCCGTAAAATGAGATCTAGTACATACCATGTACACACACACATATATATATATGTACCGTCTGGTTATTTAACATAGCCATGGAAAGATCCACCATTTTTAATAGGTAAACCATCTATTTCTATGGGCCATGGCTTCCATGGCTATGTTAGTCATAACCAGACGGTACATATAAGATTCTCTATCTATACCTAGCCACACAACTGGCCCCCAGATTCTGAAGCGCACCTAAGGAACTCATTGGAACCTCCGAGTGGCGGCCCGAGAAAAGTCCCTGAATTTTGAGAAACCGAACTTCTAAAGTGGTTGTATTCCATCACATTTAAGGTAATCTCTGGTAAACTGTCACATAACGATGGAAAGATCCAGCATTTTTCATGGCTAAATCAACGATTTCTATGGCCATTTTCAAGTTCGCAAACTGTAAACGTTTACCAGGCCGGGTAACATGAGTTGTATACTGTTGGAATATCGGTCTATGATATCCATCTCATCCATCAACATCTTTCCGTGCGAAGTCCCATTTTTCAGAGCCTTGGAGCGTCCCAGCTTTCCATCGCGTCGCAGAAACGGGATTGGGCTGATGAAACTTGGCCTATGTGGTGAATAGCTGTGGGATGTATTTCCTAGGGATAGAACTAATATCACATATTAAGATATTAAGATATTGATATATGATAATTATATGATAATTATGATATTTATCAGCTAAGACTATGATATATTAATATATTATGATTATTGATTATTGATAGACTAATCAGCTAAGACTGACACATGGAAAACATCCACATGTTGGATGACACCGATGACACCATCTTAGCCAAATGTCGACGTCCTGAGGCTCATGGCTGTCACCAAACCACCGTGGCTCCCATTGTTTGCCCGCCCTGCCCCCCCAGGAAGCATCATTTTTGGTGCATCCACTGCCATCCACCACACTTTTTGTTGCGGAAAAACGCCCACCGTCCCTTCTAGGGATGTGGACGTCGACAACACCCTTTTGGTGAAACCCAACTCATGTACCTGCACGAAATCAGGCGTGGATTAGCTGGGAAATCATGTTCGACCAGATTGGATTGTGAAACATCAACTTTTTTTGAGGATGAAATAGATGAAATCCATTGAAATCCACTAGATGGTGATGTTTGGACAGTATGATTCATCTAAGATATCTAAGTTTCCATGAAGTTTTCCATGGAAGTTTCACCAGAAATCCACCGCCCACCTTCGAAGCGTCCTGACATCCCGGCCTTGGACCATGGTCGTTTCCACAAATCAGAGCCATAAAAATCAGAAGCCATAGTATCATTAAATAGATATGATCTATGATCTATCAAATACTATGGCTAATAGATGAAATTGATAATCTATGAAGATTTGAATAGATGATCTATAAAATAAAAATCAAGTGATCTATGAAGATTTGAATAGATCTGATATCATTGATATAATATATCATTGATATATCATTGATAGCCAGAGTATGATGGACCTGTCCAATTGAGCTTCGCACCATGTAGCCATCCAACCTGTTTTCATGAACCGACACGTCTCAGCCTGCCTCTCCACTAAAAAAACAAATGTATCAAAATGATTCAACATGTCTAAACCAGCACTTTTTAACGCAATTCTGATTTCTTACCATCAATATTAGACACTTTCCAACCAATCTTTCCTTCATCTTTCAGATGGCCCAGTTGCATCTCAGTGATAAATCCTCCAGCAGAAACTGAGCTATTGAGCTTTGAGCATCTGGGTGGCTCAAGAGCAGCAGCTGTTTATCTCACTATCCTCAGGTTTGTTGGTTTACATCAGCTATATCTATCATATCTATCTATTATATTATACTGATACTCTATTATACATAATATAAAACTATATTATATAATAACATATATAATATTATAATACACATTATATTATATAATTATTATATATATTATATCAAATATATACCCATCTCTTATCTGCATCTTACATGAACAACTGAATATCCTCCTCATCCTTTCCGCATGGATCCTGCATTTTATAGGTCCTCCGAACGTTGAACAAAACTTGACCTCCAAATGGGTGCCTTTGAAAATTTTCCATCAAAATCAATCAAATTTTTGGAACCAAACTTATGATGAATCATCAACTCATCAACTTTTGGATACTACAAAGTTTTTTGGTAGCCGCATTTTTTGGACCCAAATTTCACTGAGCCACTCATCCAGTTGCGCCCACAGCGCAGAGTTGGTGCCAATTGACCTGGGGTCGTCATGGATGGCCGCTGTGGATTCTTGGATTTCATACTGGGCTGTTTACAGATGTTTACCCGGCCTGGTAAACATACAAAAAGCTATTGAAGCCATGGCCCAGTCGAAATAGTTGATTTAGCCAGCTACAACATGGTGGATCTTTCCAGTTCGTTATGTGACAGTTTACCAGAGGGTATACTGTTTATACATGTTTATATATGTTCACATATGTTTATATATGATGTGAAAATATACATGCTAGTATATTGGAGTACATGAGATGATATACCAACTTGGCAAAGCTATGGCGCGAATGATGATATAGATGAAACTAGATATCCATCTATGGGTTTAGGTCATAAAAAAAAAAAACACCAGTGACAACTACCATGGTCTCGGATACCAAGACACTTTCCAGCATTCTCCACAGGCCTGGGGCTGAGGATTTTCACCGATGGTTTGTCAAATCACTTATATATAATATGCAATGCATATATATTATTATATTATTATATTATATCATATTATATTATATATATGTTCAAAAAAACATCTTTGAACATCACAAAATTCTAATTCTTCTTAAACTTTTCATATGCATAAAACCAGCTTTTTGGATTCTGGGATTCAGCCCCACAACTCACTGGGATGCTGACGAGGGAGCAACATGCTGGTCCCACACAGCTACACGTGACGAGAGAATTGCAGATATTGTGGATCTGCAACGTCTCTAAATCTATATCTACAAACCTACATATATATATATATAGCTAATATAGATAGATAATATATATCTCTATATAAATATAACACGCATATCTACATAATTCTACATATCAACGTATCTTTGCAGCGAGTAGTTACGTAGCTGTTCCGTTACATCACTTGCGCCTGGATTCTTTCGCGCTTCTCGGAGGTATGCCATGGTGCTGGCCTGGGCTGGTTTCATGTTTCAACCCGTTGAAGCCAGCAACAAACGGCTTCAAGTTAACCAGGGCCGCTAGGGCTGAGTCTTGCTGAATCTTTCGAACTAGTTGACATTCATTTTGAAGTTGAAATCATCCCGATCAGCTTGATCAGCATGTTGATCTTCTGACTTTTTCTGGGTAATTTCTACCAGAAGAACAGCATCAAATAGCATCAATTCCTCAAAGCGCATTCGGAGTCCCAACAAAGTCATTGCCCTTTGGCACGCGAACTCTGGGACCTTCTGTGGACCTTGTCGTGGCTGGAGCTATTGGGTTAATGGAAATGATTGGTACCATTTGTGTGGAGAACTTGTTGGAAATAATGGCAATATATGGCAATACTGGCCATTAATCCAATAATCTATTGCTTATCTAGATTTTTGTTGTGGACTCCAGTTATCCACGACTCCAGTCCGTCCACAACGATGACCGGAGTGTCGTCAAGGGATGACCCAACTGATATTTAGTGGTCACTATTGGAGCCCCAAGAATGACTGTGGATATTTGTGGCTTGTGAATGCTTGTGAGCCCCTAGAAATTAGAGTAGATGAATATAGTGTAGAATATTGTGGGAGCATTGCTTCTCAATTTCCTCCCATATGAATAAATTTCTCTATGAAAAAAGGGGGCTATATCTTAAATATGGCACAAACATCACATGCAAATTGGACCTTTTGGGGTATGATTTTAACACCACCGAGGGATAACATTCGGCATGGCCGGATGTAGCAAATGGCTCGGATTTCCACATCTTTTATGGGGTTGTTTGGTGATCTTTAAATTAGTGATGTGCCGGTCCCCCAAGATCCCGTTTACTAAGCATGATTTATAACTTATACCCTCTGGTAAACTAACATAGCTATTGAACATGGCCATTTATAGTGGATTTTCCCATTAAAAATGGTGATTTTCCATAGTTATGTTAGTTTACCAGAGGGTATAAGTTATATCTCCATTGGAAACCCATGTACCTTCTGGCATAGATGGAACAATTGAAAATCCCCTGTTTTTTGGAGGCCTTGTATAATGCGAACATCATCTATACATGTGTGATTTTCCATTGCTATGTCTGATTACCAGAGGGCAACTGATGGTTAAATCCTTAAAGAACTTTGGGTTTACCAACCATCATTTGTGAATTGTATCTGCATATTCTTGATGGCTAAAAGTTAAAACATGTTAAAACCAATTTACCCTCTGGTAATTTAACATAGCTATTGAAAATTGCCATTTATAGTGGATTTACCCATTAAAAATGGTGATTTTCTATAGCTATGTTAAATTACCAGGGGGTAAATGATGGCAACCTCCATTAAATCCCCATTACCAGTTCCCCTCGTTCCCATTACCGGCTTTCAGCTTCGAGGTTCCCAAACACATAGGCGGAGGAAGATGACGATGCCGGGCGGTTTTTTACAGCCTTGGGGACAGCAACCTGGACTCACAGTGAAGTATTGGATATGAAGGAGATATCCAGCAACTTGATTACATCATATTACATCTAAAGTATTGGATATGAAGGAGATAGATAACTTGACTTGGATATGAAGGATTATATCCGATGATATCTGGTTATATCTGATTACACCTGTCATTTTTTTCGTAGTGTTAGTCAACTCATGCTACATGTAATTGTTTACTCACCGTCTTATCAGATTAGGTTTGTCCATGGGGGTTATATCCATGAAAGAGTCAATTGGGAGGCATATTTTCATAGGGATGATGATCGATTTGTCGATGTCGGGATTGGGGTACCTATGGGTACCTTATTTTCAGACAAACCCATGAGATGCCCATGATCCCTAGATGCTTGGGCGGGCGACGGTGGTCTCGGCCGATCCGTAGATGCTCAAAGCAGCACGGCCTGCTGCTTCAAACTCTTCCTTAGCCGTTGCATATCATGGGTTCATTTTTTTTGGGTTATACTAACCAGTAAGTAGTACTTCAATCAATGGGGTGATACCATTCTGTAATCAAAAAAAGTGGATTTAATAGTCCATCACTGGTTATTTTTATGGGGTTATCAATATTGATGCAAAAATTGGGGATTATAGCCGATCACGGGAATATTCACACACCAACCAGTATTTGATGGGATGGTTTCATTGATCACGATGGCTGCAGCTCATACTATTCCACATAGGCGCAGCTAACATGGGTACCTCAAATATCCTCAAAAAAAAGGTTCATCCCAATTTTTGTGGCTATCATTTCTAGGCTGGGCGTTCATCATTTCTATACCCATATAGAGCCCAAGTCTCTTGGAAAATTTGATGTTTGATGGTAGTTTCCCACTTTTTGATGGCCATAGAAGGTGATACTGTGGATGGTTGCGAAATCCTGCACAGGCGTTGTTAGATGGTTTATCCCTTTGTAAACCAATGATTTACAGTATCTCATAGGAATCCCAATAGCTACCCTGCCTGGTGCTGGATTTCTTCCGGGAAGATTGATATATAGGAATATGATGGGAATATCATGGGCATATCGACATTTGAAACCGGAAAAAAACATGAAACCCACATAAAAAACACATATTTCATAGGAAAATCCATGGTTTCCTTCCGCTTCACAAATCTTTGTTTTGGTATTTCTGGCTTCCGAGGCACCAGTGCAGGGTTGGGCTCCTGAGGAGCTGGCTCCCAGTGGGGCGGCGATTGGGATTAGTGGGGTATATACATATACATACATTTGTGTACATATATATATATATATTGATATATACATTTAAATATAGAAAAACAAACAAATATATATATATATACTGTATGTAAAATAGGGATTGGTGGGATTGATGGGATTGATGGGGATACAAGCTCTTTCATGGATTGCTGCTTGTTTGGATTCCCATTGGCAATATCTGCGCTTGTGCAGATTTCAGACCTGTTGTGGCGCCTTTTTTGTTCGTCATTGTCACACTGATTTCGGAATAAAATCCTGAATCCGGTTCTTCCAGTTCTTCGTACATTCTTGGAGGTGCAGTTAGTTCCACTTAAGCTGTGAGCAGCTATATCAACATAAATATAGGGGACTGATTTCTCTATTGGGGTTAAATAACCCCAATGTTACACCCATTAGTCCCAATCTCACCTCCATGGTACTAGCATTTTGCTGGTTATATATCTCTGTTGCATCAAACATCACCATTTCGAAAGGTAAAATCAATCGAACACGGGTCATTTTCCGCTATGTTAAACTACAACAATAGAATAGTAAACTACCCATCCAACGTTGACCCAAACATATCCCATTCATATCCACTATTCATTGGTGACACTTTCACTTTGTGGCTGATTAATTCCCATATCCCATTTTTTTTTTGGTGGATGAACGCCAATAATTGCTGCTCATATGGAGGTTTCCTAACATGGGGGTATCCCTAAATCATCCATTTACAGATGGATTTTCCTTTATAAACCATCCATTGTTGGGTACCTTTATTTTAGGAAACCTCCATATCCTATTAAAGAATGGGATATCTTCTGATAGTGGCTCCTCTCTTGCAGGTTGACCAGCGGCCGCCAGTCGTCGATGCAGCAAGGACACCTGGAAACATCACGGAGACTTCAAGAAATGGGCTATTGATGATATACAAAAAGCCAGAATATGCCTATGAATCATGAATTATATATATACATATAGGAATATACGACAATACATGAATATATATATATGTATAATATTATGGCATATTTTGACATCTGTTTTGGCTGCATTGAGATGTGCCAGGTTTAAAAAATCAGTCGTGTGATGAACAGATCCGTATCTTTTCTTCACAGTTATACTTCTAAGCACCGGTGTTGTGGATAATGAATGATACCCTCTGGTAAACTAACATAACTATGGCATCTATGGAAAATCACCATTTTTGACGGGAAAATCCACTATAAATGGCCATTTTCAATACCAGAGGGTAATGATGATACCCATTGAATACCATTGCATCATGTTCCAATACCATGATGATAAGTATCCAATGGTTGATACCCATCATATAATATGGATAATGATGATACCCATGATGATACCCATTGATTTTCAGTTGATATCCTGATTTCTGCAGTTGCCTTGTTCCTCTGCAGCATCACCCCCCCATCGACCTCTGCCAGGGCGTCCTTTAAGTGGCGCTGCACGCCCTGTGAGGATACGGCAGTGAGACGCCGTTTTGATGGTTCCCAAGGCACACCAAAATTATGAATATTACCCTCCAGTAAATTAACATAGACCCTGCCAGTCATCGGATTTGGAAGATTTGTCGTGAAACCACTCTGTCAATGGGTGATTTTCAGGGTCCAACTGTTAATTTACCAAAGGGTGAATCCAACATCCAGCACTCTGCAAGCCTCTGTCTGAAGCTGCTCTTTGGACAACTCGGTAGAGAAGACCTCGATGTGGCTGGGTCGAAATAAATGTTTACAAGTCAAGATTGGATGGGCTAATGCTGAAAATGGACCGCTTTACACCATTTGACACAAAAAAAATTGGGGGAAGTGGACTGAATTGCGGCAATGAACATATTGGATATATACGACACGACACAAACATGTCATGGGGAAATCTATTTCTGGGTGTGACAATTGGAGATTTTATCACAGACCTTTTTGAATTGGAAGCAGAACCAATCCTAAATCAGAAGAGATTCTCCCAATCAGCACGGAAATATTATCTTCAAGACCCAGCACGTGGGTACCCATAGTTGTTGCTGTACCCATATCAATTTGCTGACACCATCTATGTCGTGTCATTTCAAAAACAACCTTCAGTTTGGGTTTTTGATGAACTTAGGTCTCAAGTTCTGGTCATATACCTCATTGCTGCTTTTTAAGTCCGAAACTAAACCCAATCCCAAGAATGACACAGACCTCCAAATGAGTTTCTGGTACTCAGAATATCATCATTAGCCATCAGGAACCATCATTGACCACTATTATCCATGATTAACCATTATCTGATACCAATTCTTGCGACCCTTTCTCCAAATCCCAAACCTCCCGTCGGGAGTAGGTACCCAAAGGTGCAGGATCAGCTTCATCGTCCATGGCTTTGGATCACGACGCCTTGACGATGAGAAACTGACAAAAGCCAGGAAGGAACTGAGGGGATCAGCCTTCCTGGGATGGGAAACGAGAGGAATATGAATATATTATATTATATTATAGGCTATGGAGTTCTTCAACATCTTGAAAGGACTCATGACTAATATCATTTAGGACTCAACATCAGGTTTTTCTTTTTGGATGACCATCCATTTACCATCCATTGTTCACCAGCAATTCCCAGCAACTTCCACCGAGGGGCATTCGTTCCAGGATCGCCACTGCTGCACTGGAGAGCTGAACCTGCCACTGAAATGGAGGAGATTGTTGGAAAATGTGCCAATTGACTATCTTTTTCTTTTTGGGATAGAGGATTAGATTGATATGGATTGGTACTTTTTTTTTGCATCTGCTATATGAACAATACGGTGAACAATACGGGAGATTTTGCACACATTGGCTGAACACGATGGTCACTTTGAATGAAGCAACTGCTCCAAGTCTTCGCACCATACTGCGCTTGGCATCATCGAACATACTTTGAAGCTCCTGGGAACATTCATGGGGTCGTAAGATTGAGGCACTTGAACATGCAACTTGAAAAACAAATAACAAACTCTCGAACCTTTGGATTTCTCCAATTTCGAAAGTTCCTTACGCGCTTAAAAGTCCACCATATAGTTCAATATGTATATATATAATAAACCGTATATATATATATCATACACATATATATCTAGATATCCAATATATATATATATATGTTATAATATAATACATATATATATATGATAATATATATATATACATATATGATAATATATATATATATATACATATAATGTGTACATGTATACGTATATGTATGTAATGTAATGTAATTTAATTTAATGTAATGTATTACCGCCATTCTTTAGCTTCCCAATCCATAGCCTCGGATCGGTGTCTCCTGTTCTTTGCGCAGGCTCCGAGCTTTGTGCTGAGCGACAGTGGATTTGGGGTGTAGCCCATTTTTAGACAAATCCAAGGGAACCCCAAATCCATGGATAGATCAAAATGTGTTCGATTATTTATTCAAATCCAAGGGAACCTGAATCTATGGATTTTCAAACTTTCGAAATGTTTGATAATCTTTGACATATTTTGACTGTCCTGTGCCACTACATGGGGTATCCTGGGATCAGGAACTGCACTTTGATGCATACCTAAACTCATGGAACCTTTACCTTTACCTGAGCCGTGGGCAAAAATCACGTGTAAATCCTGAAGAAAGCTGCGAACGATATCTAGAAATAGTGAACATTCATGACATGAACTTTGAAGAAACTAATATGCTGATATAACATGCCAATATATCTGACATATGTCTTGGCTCAATGAATGTCCTGGCGTTACATCCATGGTTTTTGGCTTCGCCTGGGATTGGTGCCAGGTGCCCCTGCTCGACCCATCACGGTGCTGCGCATGAAGGCGTCGAAAATCCCTGGGAGCGTAAAGCACCGGAGCCAAGATCATGGGAGTTCTAAATTTGGGGATTATCCATGATTATGGGATAGATTATCGGGTTTGTACCACATGTAATATAATAGTGATGAGAACAATGACAATAACATATAACATCATCATCACTATTAATGCCATGTTCATGGGATTAGATGATGGGATAACCATGGATAACCCACTGGCTAACTATCAAGCAGATCATCCCAGCAACCCCCAGCAACCCATCCATTCCCTACGTAAAACGCGCCAGTAAGTTTTGACAAAGGCAACCCAGTGGTATTGGTGAAATATGGTGAACCCTTGAGTGCCCTGGCATCGCAGCAGGAAGGCCTGGTGCCCTCGGAGCTTCTCCTGCTGAGCAAGCTCAACCGCCATAGTTTTTTTTTTGGGATACCGGGGCACCTATAGATCTATAGTTATCTTGAATTATCTCGATGAAACTAAACGATTTTTTCCATTGATTTCTTAAACAACTGGTTCTTCGGACATGTGATCGCTTCAAGGTAGTTCGCCCCCTCTCCTGTAGAAGTTTTCAATAAATCTGGCCCCCTCTCGATGCCTGTCCTTGACCACTGCATCCTCAGGTCCAACGAAAGACAAACTTGGCCACGCGTCGTTCACTAACAACGCCGTGTATCAAATCTATTGAGATGGGAAACTATAAACCATGGAGGATGTGGACGAATAGCCTAGCCACTATGAGCATGGACTATTGGCTATTGGATATTAACAGAAGGGTGCCAAATAAACAGACCTTGACTATGGGGATGGGTCAAAACATCAAAAATCACCATACTGGGGCCATCCAGGAACCATCTATTTTAGGGTACCCACAACCATAACCACATACAAAATCACCATGTTTTTTGGGTGTCTGGGCCATATCGATTCCCAATGAAGCCACACCAAACTATGCCAAACTTAGGGCATGTTAGTAAAGCAATAATACACCAATTTCTTGTAAAATTGGGGATGGTGGATCCTATTGTAAAAAACTAAGATTCCTCAAAAACTCAAAGCCACAACGGGTGATCCCAACCCTGCAGAAGATGATGCGCTCATCCATCAAGTCGTGCTCCTGGCCATCGTAATTTTAGGCGTTGAAGAGATTTTTTCCCGAGAGCGTCTGAGCGCAGGGTTCTTCCAATAGTGGGGGTCTGTAAAACATCTTCTCATCTTCACATCTTCTCATCTTCACATCTTCTCATCTTCACATCTTCTTATCCTCACATCTTCTCCTCATCCCTCATCTTCTCATCTTCACATCTTCTCATCTTCACACCTTCTCATCTTCGCATCTTCTCATCTTCACATCTTCTCATCTTCACATCTTCTCATCCTCACATCTTCTCCTCATCTTCTCATCTTCACATCTTCTCACATCTTCTCACATCTTCTCACATCTTCTCACATCTTCTCACATCTTCTCACATCTTCTCACATCTTCTCACATCTTCTCACACCTCCTCTCACATCTTCTCACATCTTCTCACATCTTCTCACATCTTCTCACATCTTCTCACATCTTCTCACATCTTCTCACATATTCTCACATCTTCTCACATCTTCTCATCTCACATCTTCTCCTCTTGCCCTCTTGCCCTCTCCTTCTTTTCTATTTCTCCTTTGAAGGCGGGAGCAGGGGCAGTGCCAACGAGACGGCACGAAACGCAACCCTTTCGCACGAAATGAGGGTCGAGCGTCAAAAACTGAGGAAAAATTGCGATTTTACTTGTGCTGGAGCAACCCTTTCGCACGAAATGAGGGTCGATCGTCAAAAACTGCGGAAAAATTGCGATTTTACTTGTCCTGGAGCAACCCTTTCGCACGAAATGAGGATTGATCGTCAAAAACTGCGGAAAAATTGCGATTTCACTTGTCCCGGAGCAACCCTTTCGCACGAAATGAGGGTCGATCGTCAAAAACTGCGGAAAAATTGCCATTTTACTTGTGCCGGAGCAACCCTTTCGCACGAAATGAGGGTCGATCGTCAAAAACTGCGGAAAAATTGCGATTTTACTTGTCCTGGAGCAACCCTTTCGCACGAAATGAGGGTCGATCGCCAAAAACTGAGGAAAAAATGCGATTTTACTTGTGCTGGAGCAACCCTTTCGCACGAAATGAGGGTCGATCGTCAAAAACTGAGGAAAAATTGCCATTTTACTTGTGCCGGACCTGTCTGTGTGTAAAAGCGCCTGTGTGTAAAAAGCGTCTGTGTGTAAAAGCGTCTGTGTGTAAAAGCGTCTGTGTGTAAAAGTGTCTGTGTGTAAAAGTGTCTGTGTGTAAAAGCGTCTGTGTGTAAAAGCGTCTGTGTGTAAAAGTCTCTGCGGGTAAAAGCCTCTGTGTGTAAAAGCGTCTGTGTGTAAAAGCGTCTGTGTGTAAAAGCGTCTGTGTGTAAAAGCGTTTGTGTGTAAACGTGTCTGTGTGTAAAAGCGTCTGTGTGTAAAAGCGTCTGTGTGTAAAAGCGTCTGTGTGTAAAAGCTTCTGTGTGTAAAAGCGTCTGTGTGTAAAAGCGTCTGTGTGTAAAAGGCGTCTGTGTGTAAAAGCGTCTGTGTGTAAAAGCGTCTGTGTGTAAAAGCGTCTGTGTGTAAAAGCGTCTGTGTGTAAAAGTGTCTGTGTGTAAAAGTGTCTGTGTGTAAAAGCTTCTGTGTGTAAAAGCTTCTGTGTGTAAAAGCGTCTGTGTGTGTAAAAGTCTCTGTGTGTAAAAGCTTCTGTGTGTAAAAGCGTCTGTGTGTGTAAAAGTCTCTGTGTGTAAAAGCGTTGTGTGTCTCTGTGTGTAAAAGCGTCTGTGTAAAGCGTAAAAGCCTCTGTGTGTCAAAGCGTCTGTCTGTAACAGTCTCTGCGTGTGAAAGTGTTTGTGTAAAAGCATCTGTGTGTAAAAGCGTCTGTGTGTGTAAAGTCTCTGTGTGTAAAAGCGTCTGTGTGTAAAAGTCTCTGCGGGTAAAAGCCTCTGTGTGTAAAAGTCTCTGTGTGTAAAAGAGCCTGTGTGTAAAAAGCGTCTGTGTGTAAAAGCGTCTGTGTGTAAAAGCGTCTGTGTGTAAAAGGGTCTGTGTGTAAAAGCGTCTGTGTGTAAAAGCTTCTGTGTGTAAAAGCGCCTGCGTGTAAAAAGCGTCTGTGTGTAAAAGCGTCTGTGTGTAAAAGAGCCTGTGTATAAAAAGCGTGTCTCCATACTAACAACAGAAGACTCTGCTCCTCTACGCTCTCGGGCCATCCGTCGTCTAGTTTTTGGTGCGAACAGTGGCACCCAAAAGTGATCTTCAATGTTTTATCATTATTCTTTTATATTCTGATGATCATTTTCCTTATATATCCCTATTCTTCTTGTCATCATCAGTCACATCTCCCATCGGCATCCCAAGAAATGTCCTGTTCGAAACGGCTGTGCAAAGCCACGGCAACCTGTAGCCATGCAGCCCCCATCAATCACGTAATTCCCATTTGAGGATGGTCTCTACCCATGAAAAAAACCCTCTGGTAATTTAACATAGCTATTGAAAATGGCCATTTATAGCGGTTTTTCCCATTAAAAATGGTGATGTTCCATAGTTATGTTAAATTACCGGAGGGTATGAATCAGAGTGATTTTGGGGATGGTGGCATTGGGTAGAAACCCACATGTCGGACATGAAAATCATGAATTTTGCTGGTCAAACTTTCAGGAGACCAATTCCAGGTGCCTTAAATTGTGACCAAAAATGTCTATCCCTCAACGGGTTGAAGGGAACATCTTGCTACAGGAAACCACGGATTTTCCCATGACATCAGAGGGGTGTTCCGTGATATTTCCACCAATCCATTGAATAATCCATATGGAGGTTTCCAAAGTCATGGTGCTACCTCCAAATCATCCATTTTAATTAATTGGGTTTTCCATGAAATAAACCAACCAGCTATGGGGGTAGCATTTCTGGAAACCCTCATATATTGTTATAGTGGATCAGTGGATGTCCATCTTATTTAAACCCATGGGGATCCCCCATGAGCTCCGGACTCGCTCTTGTCGCAGGTCCACAGTGGCGGAACGCCAAGCCTGCCACACTGTGACCTGGGGTGAAGGCCGGCTCTTGCAGGAGATGAAACATGAATATCGATGGAAAGGTTCATGGCATGTTAATAATTATCAATGTTTATTACCATGTTCATTCATGTTGATGGCAGGATATTGAATATCTATGAATATCATTGAATATCTCAATATTTTGCCGTTGTAGGAGATCCACGAACAGGAAACATTAACATGATAGATCGTAAAACATCCGTCACACGGGTAATCCGATCGCGGTACGGATATATCACCAACAAACATGGGAATACTCAGAGTATAATAGGGATATAGCCAAGAAAAGGCAAACAACCATGGCAATGGCTGATGATTGATGACTAATGGAGTGTAAGAATTATTACGAACTGGTGGCCGGCTATTGATGATTGTTTGTGATGAATGACAAACAAGGGCTGGTTGGTGGTATACCTACCCCTATGAAAAATATGAGTTCGTCAGTTGGGATGATTATTCCACCCCTATGAAAAATGATGGAGTTCGTCAGTTGGGATGATTTTCCATTCCCAATATGATGGGAAAGTCATAAAAATCCCATGGTTCCAGTCACCAAGCAGTGGGGGTTCACCAAGTTCACCGCTTTATCCCATCAACACCTCCATCAATTCGAGGATTGCCCAGCCAGCCACTATCCCATTATCCCATTATTCTCCCTCTACAAAAACCATATAACAAACCATATTAACCATATAAAACCATATAAAAACCATATATAAAAACAATATAAAAACCAAGACCATAGAAACACCATAAATAAAAGCAGTCTAAAACCATATTTAAAGCATCCCAAGACTTCCAATCACCCCGACCGGCCCCCGGGCCAGGCGTAAGCGACGACTGGCGCTCTCGTGAAAGGTGGCACGACCTCTGTTGGATCCGTTGGATCTGTTGGGAAAATCATCCCAAATGGGGGGGAAAATCATCCCCAATATATCCAATATCCATGTATATAGTTGATTTGGATGATATCATGTTGGATGATCATCATCTGGGAAGTTACATCCCCATTATTTTTTATAAAATAACCATTTAGTTGATGTAATAAATCATCATCCAGATATATCCAGATATATCCAGATCTGGTTTGCAACTTCCCAGACTGAAAAACCCTGAGTCTTCGACAGAGGGCTGCAGGTGTCAACAAACTGAGTTCCTGCTGTGTTCGTGAGTGGTGATTGAGTCATTCCCAAAATCAGGAATAGCAATCTACATATATGCGGTATGAATGTAAATGTAAATCTGCATGAACGTATGTACGTATGTACGCGTGGACGCATGCACGCATGGACTCAAGGACGCATGGATGAATGTACGCATGTACGCATCTGCGGATGCATGCATGTATGTATGTCTCAATGTATTGACTTTAGGTCTACATGTATAACTGTATACATATATATATACACACATACATATCAACATATCCATGTATACACGTCTATACATATATACATACACAGAATATGTGCACGCGGATGGGGAGATCGACCAACACTGAAACGGGGTTCATGAATCAACAATAACTATAACGTACAACATATCCTGTGTTCGGGGTATTTCCTTGGAATAGAACCAACAAAGAGAGGAGCTTTCTGAAGCAAGAAAGGGACTGGTCAATTGGGGCCAAACATAGTGGATAATGTGGTAAATCCTAAATCACAAACCATCCAGAGGCTTATGAGTGAGTATGATTGGGTATACCTCTATTTGGGATGCAAAATGAGCAATCATAATGGGATTGTGAAAATGGGATGGTTGGTTACCCAATCATAGTTGGTATATTAATCATAGTTGGTTAATGGATGATACCGCTATTACCATCTTTATAACCGTCATGGTTGGTTAATGGATGGTGAATGGGATTGTTTTCATATTTTTCATGGGATGCTCTCACTGCTCCCATCCGTCGCCTCTCGATGAACTTCAGTGGCGCCTTCCTCAGGCATCGTTCTGAAAAAAGTTCTGAAGAGCTATCCACACTTCCATTAATCGGCTGTTGGGCTCTATGCCAACTGCAACTTAGCGACTTAGTCCCATATTATCCATGAAGAACACCCATTTCTTCGACAAATTCTCCGCACCTCATCCTTCACAGCAGTGCCAGGTCGTCTGGTACCCTTCACGAAACGTCGGAAACCTCATTTTGTTTGCTGAAAAAAAAGGAACCCTCTGGTTATTTAACATAGCCATGGAAAATCCCCATTTTTAATAGGTAAACTATCTATAAATGGGCCATGGCTTCCATGGCTATGTTAGTCATAACCAGAGGGTATTCCTTTTGCAGTGGAACCTTGGGTTCAGTCAGGCCATGATGTTTCTTAGATGAACATCAGGGCCAAGTTGCTGAAGAAGCAGTACACCAACAGGCCATGATTCCTTAGACACCAAAGGTACAACTCTGCTGCAAAGAAAAACACATTGTGATCCTCAAATGGATGAACATAAACTTTTCTATACATCTGGGTACTATCATCATTTACATGTTTTGCAAATGCACCATGTTTACATGCATATGGATCTATCGTTCTGGCTATCTACAGACATGACACTATGCAACACTGCATGACACTACATGACATCACATGACATTCACATGACATTACACTATATAACATACATACACGGATCTGTCTGAACATGAGGTATACATAGGTACACTTATGTATCCCACCAAAAGTTCACAATGTTAATAGGGGAATGATCATATAGTACATATAGATTCTATTTAGATAAATATATGATAATATTGGATTAAGCACTGTTAACCACTGGATTAACCACTGGATTAACCTGGGATTTCTGGATATTTCTGGATCACCTGTTCAGCGCCAGGTGTCACCTGTCTCTCCAGTTGTTCAGCAGACCATTCAGCCAAGCGCTGCCGCGCCGCTGCAAAGCAGAACTTGCGCCTTGGCCCAAGCGATCTCACTGGAGCCCCGGGTCGTGCGGGTCGGGGTTGTGTACGGGTACACCAACAAGTTAATCTCCATTCTGCCCATCATCCATATCCAACACTTGCCCAAAGAACACCTAGTCGTTTCATGTCGTTTCTACCATCCGTCTCAAGTCATGATTGATAAACCATCATGTATAACTAAGATCCATCGACAAATGGAGGATCCAGATATTTATGGCTTACAACCTGAGCAAACCCGCCACCATCCCTGAACCACACGGAGCCAAGGTACCAGGCGGCCAAACAGCGATAGGCGCTCTGCTCAGCCAATAGCCAACTCTGTCGCTTCGCCGACCATTTGGCCAGGGATTGACAACGCCTTGGAACTGGAGGCTGAATCGGTTGCAGGGTGACGATGTGTTTAAGAGTGTGGCTGAGTGTTTAAGTGAAGAATACACACATTAATATAAATGTAGATGTGGAAGTATCATTGTTGGTTTTGTACATATTGTGATTAATAGAAACATATTATGCATACACGTGCGTATATCTATGTACAGATGTCTGTATATGTTGATCCTAGTAGAAAGAAATACAGCCAATAAGGAATTGGCTGCTTCGTTTTCAAGTCATTTACTAACACAATCATCCAATCATCCAATATGATGCTGTATGCTGTGGCCTGACGATTGTATTGCTAGCAATAAATCAACCCATTCACAGGCACAAGTGGTGTCCCCTAGTTCGTCAACTTGGTTTGCCAAATTGGCGAAGGGGGTTTAGGGAAAAAATCCACAGTTGGATGGCATGAACCAACTTATGAGTAAACATGACTAAATCTGACCAACAAAAAGACGTATGTGACAACATGCCACTTATTTATGACTACAGGCTAGCGCTTTGCTGGTTGTACCCTTCACTTTTCAACGCCCAAGCGGCTCTAAATGTGCTTCGTGGATCAACGCAAGGCCCGAGTCTGTCACTTGTGACCTGATCTGATCAGCTCACGGGCCTATGGATCCTATGGGGTTATGGGTTACTAATCTTACTACCATCTGTTTAATGGGTTTACTGGGAAAACCATCATGTTTAATGGGAAAATCAACTATAAATGGCGATTTAATGGGATGTAATGGGATTTACCATCTGGTTGTGATTGACAGTTCACCATGGAAAGATCCCTCATTCTTAATAGGTAAACCATCTATTTCTATGGGCCATGGCTTCCATGGCGAACTGTTAAATAACCAGAGGGTAATATGAATTTCATTCATGTTCTGTTATCGGATGGAAGATCATTATTTAGATGTCCGGACTGTCCGGATAATGGAATATTATTATAGAATATTATACATGTCTGTGGATTTTACAATATGCTTATGCCAACATATTTGTCAGAAAGGCCACTTCCTGCGGACGACAATCTCTGACAATGCCAGCAGCACCTTTTTTTTTCGCCAGGGATTCCGCTGTGGAGCCAACGCGCGCCCAGAATGGCTATGCTTTAGGACTTTTTGAGATCACAACAGATCATAACAGATGGTAACAGATCTACATATATATATATATACATATACATACATACATTGGAATCATATTGGAATCATATTGGAACCATATTGGAACCATATTTATCATATTGGATGGTCAAATTCTAAGGCCACCCAATTTGGGCCACCCGTTCTTTGGGTCCCGTTCTGGCTCGAGACCCGACAAGACTTACGACGAATCGTTGCTTTGGAGACTCAGATGGTGAAGTTGGCGTAGCGATTTGGACCTGGGACCAAAAAGAACAATAGTCATACTATGACCCAAAAAACATATAACATTAATATTAACATTAATATCACTATTAATATATTGTATATATATATATTCAATGATTCTCTATGATATTTAAAAGTATTATCAATACACTATTATCACTATCAGCATTGTTACCATCATCATCATCATCATCATCATCATCAAAATCCACGGTCACGCCGTCTACGGTCTCCCCCTCCCCCTTTCTCCAGTGCACACATCCGCGAACAGCTCTCAGTGGTGACGTTGTAATGTGCCACGTTGGACCAGAAGATTTTGGAGGCTGCTTTGAAGAGCCTGGAAGCCATGGTTTTGCCAACAGAAATGGGTCAGGTTGGAGATTTTGAGCAACATTTTTTGAGATAAATTGTAGGCCAAAATTGTGATATTTCTCTCGCCAAATTCTAGGTCGAACTTGATGCAGTGACACTCACCGCAGTTTAGTGGGGGTTTTCTCCTTTGGGGCCTGGAAAATCCATGGAAAATCCTATGGGAAAATCCACAATCTGCCGTTGGTTGGAACGGGCGGAAAAAATTGTTCGTTGCAGGCAAGATTCTCTCCATCATACGGATCATCAATATCATGGGCTTTCAAGAAATCCTGGCGGCGCTTCGACGCTTCGACATCGCAACGATGTCGCAAAAAACTGAGGGCTTCCCGGAAGGATCAAGATTCCCCTGGGCAAAGCGTAAAATTCCAGTGGTTGATGATTTGCCAATGGGGTATCCATATTGAGACAAAGCCATATATTTGAGGCACCAAATAGAATAGAAACATCCAACAGAAACCAGTCATCCCTATCAAGGATGTGCAAAATTCATATCTTCAGTTCACATATTTTTAATGTACCGGCAATACATATTAAGAAATTCCCATTTTAATTGCACTTTCAAGAGTCGGGAAAGTCGTCGAGGTAGTGGCTTGGGCGCATGTTGGCAAACTCCACAGGCCGGCATTCGCCACCGAACATCGCATGGAAAAGGCAAACTGAGAGATCCTCACAGCGACCAGAGAGCAATGGGGATTTTGGTTACCAACTCATAGCACAGCAGTGATGGAAAAACGTGTTTTTTTGTTCTTTTAATTGGTATGGCGGTGTAAAGACATGATAGCGATATTATGGGGATAGTCGGGGATAGTTTTCGGGACCCAGAACATCTGAAGACTATGATATGGTTTTCACCTCAAAAATCTCAAAATATGTAGAAAAACACTTGCAGTTTTAATGGGACAACCATCGATGATTATCGATTGGAAATCGGGGTACGAGTACCCAATAAAACAAGACAAATCCATGTGCCATGGCCGAACATTGCCCAACCTTTGGGAAATATCACCAAAAACCATCGATTCGGGCGATCAAAAAACATCCGCAAAATGGGGCACCAATTCTCCCGGAACATGATACCCTGACTGTCAGGATTTTAATGGAGTTTATCATAGATAATGAGTGTCATTAAATTCTAACATGTTCACCAATTCCATAGTGATTGTCACATGAGTGTCATTGAATTTTAACATGTTCACCCATCTTAATAGTCGTCATATGTCGTCAGCCGGCCCATTCTGGGATGATTCCATGGGATGATTTCCAACCAATCTGCCAAGCACTGCCAAGGTGCGAAATATTCGGTGAGTCCAACAAAGGCGAACTTCTGAAGTCTCGCCAGGGCCACTTTCAAGGATTTTGCCTGATATCGCCGGAGGATCTTTTCTCCGCGGGTGTGAAAAAAATCATGGTTTTGTGTGGCACATATCAAAACCATCAACCATTTGTCCAACACTTATCTGATTTAGCCATTGATATACAACAAGTATACCAAAAACCAGGGGGGTTATTATTTGGGGTTTGCCGGTTTGCTTACAAGCTGTGTTCAATCCACATGTTGCTTTGGGGCTGGGCAATTTCTCATCTCTGCCCAGATTCAGGACTTTGAACAAAAAAAACCGAACTTTACCATTTTCGGATATTTTTACAGTTATACCAGTTATAAACCATCTTTTATGTATGGTATAAACATGTATAAACAGTTATACACCTAATATGGATCCATCTGGATGGTTTTTTCGGCTCCAAATCCTCAGCTGCCAAGGGATCCAAGTGTCTGAGGGATCCTGGTTCAAGCACTTCTTACAGAGGCCGCTGCAGTAGGGATCTCGTGCGATCGACTCATCGAAATGAAACTCACACCTGACAAGCTGAGGACTGGAACTCATGGTCTGTCTCTGGAACGATAATTGATGACTGTTATGGTCATATGGTCTTTTTCTGGAACGAAAAATTGATCAGTGGAAGGTTCAGGATGTAGAAAATGAGATCAAATTAGATCAATTTGTGAACGTTTTTGACATCTCTCGGTTGCCAAATCTTCTATGTTGACATGCCAAGGTGCTGAATGGGATTCATGTCATAGATTCCACTCAGCATTTTGGTCATAGTACCTGGCGTGCCCCGAAACCGAAAAACATGTGTACTAATGTAAGGAGAATCCGATGTCATCTGCAAAGATACTGTTCATAATATATAATATATACAATAAAATAGAGTATCAACATAACATGATCCAACAAAAAATGAGATCACTCGAAAGATCATGATTCTAAAATCTATACCATCATTTTCTCATGCACATACCGCGATTTTCTTTGAATTCCAACCTTCAACATTCTTACACCTCAGAGCTCGAAAAGAATAACAACTGTCCACTGTCCTATGTTACAGTCTAAATATAGTTTTTTTCGCGACCGCCGGAAAAATTGTCTTTCGTACCACTAAGTCATTGGCAAACCATAACGATCACTTTCGCCGAGTCAGTCCTCGTGCTACCGCTGCGTATTTCTTGAGATACTGCATTCGGACGGAATGGTTGGAATGTCTTAACCTCGGTGGTGAAAAAATGCCGAGGCAGCCACAATATGGATTGAATAATTATAAGAGTACTATATATGTTTTCATCCACCATTTTCTGGGTAGATCCTTCTGGGCCCATGATACGAGGTACATCACAGTTTTAGAACTTTCCCTGCCATAGTTTTCATCCAAATTCTCCATGAACGGCTTGAAATCTGTAACGATTGGATTACAGCAACTGCCGCTTTCCAAATGTGGTCAAATTTCTCAGGAAAGTGATCTCGATGAAGATTTCTGATGATGTGGCTATTATTCCTTCTTCACGCATTCAGACCTTCGTCTGATTGGCACATTAGTAAATCTCCTTTCAGTTGGGCAACAGATCCTAATGGTCCTAATTCAATGGAAAATGCCGCACTTATCGCACTTATTTTCATTCGTAGATTCATAGATTGTCTTCCTATACTTTCCCTTAATTTTCGACAGGTATTTTCCACCCATCTTGTTTCCTGGAGATCACTAGGTTCCCTCGTGCCCATTTGCTCGGCCGTGTCACACCGGCGGCAAAGTCTCATTGGTACCCAGCACGAAGTGGTTGTATGCTGAGGCGACACGTGCTTTTGGTGAGCGAAACAAACCCACGAAGCGTCCTGGATGTTGCTGATGCTTCCTTCATCATTGTAATGCGAAAGATGAGCCACTATTGTGGTGCATCAATTCTCCAAATGACAAATTGGTTATGACTTCTTAGCGAACAAAATACAAGAACAGCCATTGAACATTTCTGCGGGTGGTACCAACAAAGGAGCTGCCAGAGCAACCAAAAAGGTGCTGTTGTTGTGCTTCTTGCTTGTTGAGTTACAAAGGGTGCTCTGTCAACAGCATCCTGGATGCATTGCAATGAGTTTAGTATCTCAGTATCTTTTCATGTATGATCTATTATCTACTATCTAATCTAATCATATCAACTAGCATATGACATATCACATATCAACTATCGAATCTCAACTATCAAATATCATATATTTCACATAACATGTACCTATCCATCCATCCATCCATCCATCCATCCATCCATCCATCGCTCTCTCTCTCTCTCTCGGAAAACTCCACCGAAAGCTTCGCGCATACTCCGCGCGCCTTTATCCAACTTGAGATGACGACCAAACTGAGCATTCGTACAGTTCTCTGTGCACTTCCAAAGGATATTTGCATGGCGAGTTGTCACTGAATGGTGGGAAATTTCTAATCCACAATGGACACATTTCGGATTACTGTCGGCCTCATATTTCTGTGTACCACAAAGACCAAAATGAAACTGCCGGCCTCAAAGTATGTTTGTCAACGCAATGCAGGCTTGGAACTTGATAAACTTATAAAAGTTTCAAGTGTTGTGAGATGGACGACAGCACTTTTTCTTGATATATCTGATATGCTTTTTGCCCCATCTCCTGATATATCTGATATATCTGATATGTTTGCCCTGAGATCCCCTGAGATTCCTTGAGAAATGGTGCCGTGTGCCGTCGTGTCGTGTCCGTCCTTGCCATTCCTTGAAATCCTCATCTCCGATGATCCGATGTCCGCCAGGTTCCGTGGAAGAGTTCGTGGTCCAAAAGACATCAGGAAACCACTCGTGGATCGGATATTTGTAGATGAAGAAATCCTGCAATTGAGAAAGGATTGGAAATTCGATCATTGATTTGGCATAAAATATCAGTTGATATTACATCGATTGAATTTGTCTTCAGTTTTGCTTGCCAAATGTTCAGGGAGAACAAATTGGGACATCTTAAATCTGAAACAAAGGCTTTTCCAGATTTAAAAGGACAACTGTGAGATTTTTGGTAAAGGCTTAAATTAGGTACCTCCAAACTGGAACCGTTCAGTACAAGGACCAAGACGTGGCAAATGTGGAATTTTGACCCTAGCGCTGCCTATAGAGCCTGGACCCTACAAATACGCATATTTTATGTATGGGGGTTTCCATACATGGGGATACTCCATAATGGATGGTTTATAATGGAAAACCCGATTAATTAAAATGGATGATTTGGGGGTACCCCTATTTTAGGACACCTCCATATGTATATAGATATATATATACATACATACAAAGCATGTGTATGTGCATGTAACTATCAAATGAACCAGTACTAGGATCGAATGATAAACAACCAACCACGGGAAAGACCAGTTGTATGCCCCGACCGCAAGAAAATCAAGAAGTCAGCAAATGGCGGCGGCGGTCGCGCACCTCTTTGCGATGGGCACACTTGAGCCAAACACGGTCAACGGATCAATTCAACCCGGACCTGGATGGCTGGAGTGTCTGACATGTGACATGTCGCAGTGCATGCAAACTGGATTCCCCGAACTATCATATTTATGATGTAAGTTCTTTCATCAGGTTAAGGGCATGCACAAGTAATTCTTTTGCTCATGCATGGCGGAGCCAGGAAAAGGCTATCACACCAAATTGGTCATGAATTCTTCTTCATGTTTCAGTCCAAGTAGGCATGTTTGGTGACACTAATGGAATTGGTGAAAACTCCTGAATTTATTCTTCTCCCCCTTCTTATGCTGTGAAGCTTGACTTCGGAGTCTAAGCCTGGCAAATGAATTCATGGAGGTTGGATGTTCAACAGTTCCAATGCTGCGGTCCACTTGCACGGTTCGAGTGCTTTGGTGAACGGATCTGCTCGCTGGAGAGCGGATTTGATGTACTGCAGAGTGACTTGCGGATCATTAAACAGTTCATACGAGGCGGACAAGTTTAGCCTATGAACCTTCTTAAGGTGTCTCAATCTCGCACTATATCCCCCATGAACCATTTGGATGACGGAGGCATTGTCTTGCTGGCATACCAAACTGATGGGCCTGTTTAATACTAAATCAAAAAGGTCCTGCATCGGAACGGCTTCACCAAAGACGGCTGAGTCAAGAGAAATGATCTCTGCTTCACAAGTGCTTCTGGCAGTTGCGCCTTTGTGCTTTGATCCCCAACACAGAGGCCAGAACGAATCCGGTCCTTCGAGCGTGAGAAACATACCGGATGTTGACTTTACGTCTTCAATACCGGAGGCATGATCTGCATCAGTGTACAACGACAAATGCAGGGCGCTGGGGTCATCTCGGATGTGACCTTCCAACATGTAGTCTGAAGTACCCTTTAGATATGACATGAGTCTATAATAGGCGTCTATCATCTGCTCGGGACCAAGTAGTGATTTTCCTAGTGAGGTCGGATATCCCCTTCATTCAGTCAGGTCTAGCCAGTCTTGCACCCCATAGGATTTTCATCAATACTTTGGAAGCATCTTGAGCCATTTCACCCCTAACCGTAAAATCACTATCGACAAGCGACCCTTCAGGCAAATAAGGTGTTGTTGCCTTCTTCAACACACAGCCACTCAACTCTTCGTAAGCGGTGCATGCATTTGCAGCGAAGTCGGACATATCAAGCTTCATTGACGCTCCGCGTCCATCCCTTGTGATCAGATGACGTCTTCCAAGAACTCTATCAACAGGAGTAGGATCTTCAATTTCAATATGCTTTTGCAACATTTTCCAAAAGTCTTGATGGCTTTCTTCAGGACCACTCAGTAGGATGTCATCTGCGTACAAAGTCAGCAACAAGCGAGACTCCTTGATGTAGTAGGTTGACTGAAATGTGTCGGCGCAATGCACAGCTCGGATTTCACTCATGGTTTGTTGGAACCTTTGGTCCCAGTGGTATCCGGCTTCCGGATGGCCGTAGAGTGATTTCCAAAGACGGACGCAAGGTCTTTTTATTCCTCGGAACTCTTTGGGGACTAGTTCAATGGGAAGTTCTACCCATGTAGGTACTTGAGTGTTGAGGATACTTTGAGTGTATGCGCGAACAACATCGCTTTGAGTGGTGCAATTCCCTTTCATACAGCCGTACGCCAAATTTGCATTTATGCCGGCAAGCCCGGAGGGGTTTACTTTGGCTTCTTGGAGAACTGCGCTGTTATTATCCTGATCCCTAATGTCATCACCCCTGAAAGCAATTCTGGCTTTTAGCCGTCTAAGTTCTGGAGTCTCCCAGTGTTTTACACTAAGAATAGTCATCAGTCTCCCTATGTGAACCGGTGATTTACACTTCAACAAGTCTTCCCGTGAAATCACTTCCTCATAATTCCAAGTCCCATTTTCAAGGATACCACTTGCCTCTTTAGCTATGGCTTCTTCCCAGCCTGGATGTTTATGCCAATCTTTACGATCCAGCAACAAGTGAATGCCTGCATGGACGGACTGCACATCTTTCAGGTTGGGTTCATGTTTGGAATCTGAACTTAAGTGACTCGGCATGGCGGTGACTTGCTGGTGAGAAGCCGGATGGCTCACATCACCTGAATTTGCGACCACTGGCATGGAGAAAACTGCATCTGGATAAAAACGCTCACTGATAGTTTGTGACATCGCTCCTGGGTAAAAGGCCGTTTTCGGCGTTTCATTGCCTTTGGCATGATCATGATGGAATCCCTTTTCATGCTGACATCGGCATTTATCCAGGTTGGCTGCCAAACGGTAAGACGAAGTTGCAATGTGCCAAGGTTTAAACATAGGTCGGCCCTTTGAGCTCTGCATTCCAAAGAAACAACATTCGGCCATGAACAGTTTGTGACGTTTCATGAATGCGACCAGTTCGGGTAATAACCAACCTTTGGCACCGTTCGGCCATATCTCATTGGAGCTTGCTGCAACTGACTTATGACTTGGTTTTGGTTGTGAATTTGTTGCATCAGTGAATCTACCAGGGCAGTCTGCTCATTCTGCTTTTGGTGCAAATTTTCATTAATCCGGATTAACTCAGCCATTCTCCCCTCAAGCATGGACATCTGTTTTTGGGACTCACTTCTCAACCTTGACAACTCAGCATTGGCTTGAGCTTTAACCAGTTCAACTTCAGTGGACGCCCTTTTCACAATTGACTGAACCTCGGTGGCTGCCTTGCTTTGGGTTTCATCCACTACCTTTTGAGCTTGATGATGAATCTGGTTAACAAATTGAGATGCTTCTGCCCGTACATTGACCCTTTCTTGCTCTAAGAGGCTTTCGGCTTCGCCCCGAACTTGGCCTACAACATTACCTGCAAACTGCAAGGCTTCTTGCCTAGTAGTGTCAACAATTCGATTGGCTTCTGCCAGGATCAAAGGGTCAACTGAGATATTCAGCTCATTGCGGATGATAGTTGCATTTTGTGGCCTATTTGCACTTGCACTTGAACCCTGACCAAACCCCGTGCCCGGTGGCGACCCGTCGGTTGGGTTTCTTGGGAGTTGGAATGGATTAGATGGCAAACTAATCGGAGACTGCTCATTGGAACCCCTTACAAACTGAGACAAAGTTTCATCTGGACTCTGCCCTGTCTGATTGGTCGGTACCATTTGTGAGGCCCTTTGAACATTTTGCCCCCAAACTTCTGATGATGATGACTCACTGATGGATGTCCCTTGTGCAATGATTCTATGGCTAGCTGCGTCAACAGTTCCCTTTTCGGGGGTAGATCTTGATCTATCCATTGATTTGGAGCTTTCATCCATGCGTGAATCAAATGCGGACATTTTTCAACTTCACGGGACCACCTCCTCGTCGAACACCTCCTTCACAGCCCCTTCGCAATCCTCAAGAAAGTTTCTAACCCGATGAGCTTTGGGAGCCTGAGGTTTCCACCTCAGTTTCAAGTGGACCGTAGATACTCTTTCGCTGCACTCCGTGATCACTTCAGCATTGTCGTCAATGATAATGCACGGGACCCGACGTTGGCAGATTGCTGCAAGAGTTGAGAGTTTACCCAGTGCCCCTGTGCGTCGTGATAGTCACGAACTCAATCAAGTCCTGTACCCCGTCAGTGTTGTGAAGACAACGGATAAGATCGCGAAGATTCTTCTCAGACCTCTAGATGTGTGAGCAAAGACAGATGATCAACCGGTCGCCAAGATCTGTTTTGATTTGACGGATCAGCTCAAAGTTTTCCCGGGGCACCCGCTGCACTGCCCACGCTGTCTCTGTCCTCGATCTGTCCAAAACTTGATGGTAGTCCAGGGCTAATACCAATTTCTGACTGACCCTCAACTCAGGACGAATTGCCACCGCACCCTCAAAATCTCGAGTGGAAGTTTCTGTCAACCTACCGTTAACCCAAGTACAATAAGCGCACGTGTCTGGCAAGAGAACTCTTGGTCGGAGTGGCTGCTGTTTGATTTCAACCGGTTTCGAGAATGTAACTGCCTTAGGCTTTGCCTGTTGTGACCCCAAAATCGTTGCACGGTATGCTGAACCCTTTGCAAGAAAAGGAGGCGGCTGTTTCACTCCCGATGGTGCTTTTGATGTAGTTGACCCAGCAACTTCGGTTGTGGTTGTTGTGGTTGTTGTTGTTGTTGTCGTTGTCGTTGTCGTATCGACTGTTAAATCCACTGTAGCCCCAATTGAAACCGACCAAACACCAAGTGGTGTGGGCTCTGCTGGCTTCGCCCTCGCAACGGTTGCTGAAGACGACGAAGAACCCTCAAGATGCGATCGGCCCGGTGGCGGCCCACTAGGCTCCTTTGGCACTAGCTTCACCTTCTTCGGCGGAGGATGGGACGGTTCCGCTGGCCTCAACCTCGAAGGTGGTGGTGGATATGGAGGCTCCTTAGGCCCAGATGAAAACGACCAAGTAGCTTTCGGTGCTACTTCAACAGGCTCTAGCTTCGATCTTCTTCACGTTCCTCCGCACTTGATGACGAGACTTCCCAATTCTCAAGATCTCCAATCACACCCGGACGAAGTGTTGCCCTCTGCCCGTCAAAGATTGACGGATCAAGAATATAAGGATAATAGTTGCTGAACTTACCTTCTGCAAAACCACGCCTTATGAAAGCTGCTTTTTGAGCTAGTCCCTCCAGAGAGTGTCTGTGATCGATTGTTGTTGCGAAATTGTAAAACCTTCCAAGTAGGTCAGAGCAGCCACAAATACAGCTGATAACTACGAGAAAGACCAGTTGTATGCCCCGACCGCAAGAAAATCAAGAAGTCAGCAAATGGCGGCAGCGGTCGCGCACCTTTTTGCGATGGGCACACTTGAGCCAAACACGGTCAACGGATCAATTCAACCCGGACCTGGATGGCTGGAGTGTCTGACATGTGACATGTCGCAGTGCATGCAAACTGGATTCCCCGAACTATCATATTTATGATGTAAGTTCTTTCATCAGGTTAAGGGCATGCATAAGTAATTCTTTTGCTCATGCATGGCGGAGCCAGGAAAAGGCTATCACACCAAATTGGTCATGAATTCTTCTTCATGTTTCAGTCCAAGTAGGCATGTTTGGTGACACTAATGGAATTGGTGAAAACTCCTGAATTTATTCTTCTCAACCAATGGATAATCAGTGATAGTTACATTTAATAGTACATATATGAGTAATATGATTGGTCATTACAACCAATATTAAATAGGTCATGATAATCAGGATATCAATGAGTAATATGACCTATGCGCTTCCTATGTGCAGAACTCTGGAGACAGCCCATAATCCGGTCACCGAGTGACACGAGGGCCCTGTGTGAGATTTCCTTCACAGCGGTCTTCATCCGCATCAGCCACGTTTCCTGAGGGTTCTGGAACGTGTTAACTTGCCCTTTCAGGGAATACCCGACTCCTTTGTGTTTTTAAAACTTTGAAGATTTTGAAACCACACTTTCTTCCCTTCCTACCAAACAGCGAAGTGTTCAAACTTATCATAGGTACCCAATATACATATTGTGGATTACATCATATCCATTAATTATGCCAATTACGGACCAAATGGATCTCCCGTATATGCTCACTTCCCATATACAAAGCATAACACACATACACACTCTATGCATAATCATGTATATATAAAAGTTATACTCAATTATATGTTATGTATCTACATTTGTTATACGTATATCTTACATATATATTTTTTGTATAATAGATATTAATAGATGATATCTTATTTACATCTAGGAAAAACACAACAAAAATCACCAAGCCAAAACAGCGCCCGGCATCCGGTACAGCTGGGCATATGCGCCAGCCGCGGTAGCGAGGAATTGGCGAAATGCGCCAAGGTCGCCCCGAAACTGGATCCGCCTCAGGTCATGACGCTACACGGTGGTGGGTATCACGTTATCACGTTAATGGCCGCCATAAAAAGTGATGTTTATCCTATAAAAATCTAAAACTCTATAAGGGTATATATATATATATCATGGCATATATATATATATCATGTATGTGAATGTGATTTGAAGCACACTTTATTTTTGACCATGGCACACATGAATTTCAGAGCAATGGATTTCAAGAATTTCTTCCCTTCAGCACTGAAATTGCAGCAAAGGCTGAGGAAATTCGTTGAACACCCAAGATGCTTGGCGTCTAATCAGCTTGGCACAGTGGTGACTGGGAACAGATAGACATTCGAGTCAAGCCACATTTCATGATGTGAAACCAAGCAATTCTGGCCTCGGCATGCAAGGGCAGCATCTGGTACTCAAAATTCTGATATGGAGGTTGTTAAAAAAGGATATTGGGAGCAATGGTGAGATGCTGGTGCATTATTATCTTGAAAAGGGACACCATTCCTTAGAAAGGCTTGCCGTCTCCAATCTTCCACCACATAAATGTCTACTTGGAAGTGCAGTGAACAATTAGTGAACAATTAGTGGATACTGACACATTCTTTTTTCTATCAGTAATCCATTATTAATGTTCAAAAACCATTATTAATGTATAGCGTTTTCAGGGGCTTCCCGTCATAAGTCATGGGGGATCCCGTCATCCCGTCGCCAGGCCGAGGGGCTTGACATCGAGACAAGTTCCTGGGGATTTTGTGCCATTGGGCGTCCCTGAAAAATGGGCAAAGATGGGGCAACAAATGGTGAAATATATGGTATTTAACTTATTTAACATTGAAACATGGGGATTTCCAATAAAAGTGGGAGATTTAAAATATTTAAATTAGGGATAATGGGGAATCATCAACAATGGTGATTCACCAAGTACTGGTTTATCATGAGCTACGATTGCCAAAATTCTCATGATCAATATTCTAAATTGAATCCCCCCAAACAAACACACGCATCCGTCAGGTGTTTCAATTATCTGTAGTTAGATAGGTTTATAAACCAACAGACAGAAGCAGGAGGCCCCTTCCTGCAAATATATTTGTCTGCGACGCCACACTCCCCGCTTAGCCTATATATGTATGCATACATAATTATATACACATACGTGTAGAAACAGTAAACACACACACATTAATATGTATATATATATACACATACAAATACAAACAGTATCGAACAGTATAACTTAGCATAATCCAAGAAAAACATGCACTAGTGGGATATGAACAAATCACGACGGGTGGATATGACGACGGCACGACGACGAGGCCACGGCGGCGCGCCGTCATCGCATCGTCATCGTGACATAGCCCCTCCGTCGTCGGGTCCGAACCATCTTCACAACCCTCCCGTCGTGGAGCTCCTGCTTACACTAGAAAAGCTGGTTTGCATGTGTTTAGAATTTAGCTAAAGTATAACAGTATATATATATATGGCAGTGTGTCAAAACCTTGTACCCCTGGTGAACATCAAAATAGCTGGTAAATGGATGTTCATCCCACTAAAAATGGTATTAATAGGTATTGATCCATAGCCATATGTCTATATATCTATCGTATTTTATCTGCATCCGCCAGGTGTCTGATTCCAGGCACAAATGCTATTGGCCCCACAGCTGTGCTTCTGTCGCCCTTCGCAGGAGCTTTGTTGGATCTCTGGGTGATGCGCTCGCCATCGATTGTGATCCTAAGCCAGAGGCACTTCAACTGGGTGTTTTGAGAGCCATGATCTGATGCGAAATTGGCACCGAGAAATGCGACACTTTTTTTTTGCTAAGAATGTCTTTTTTTTCAAGTGGTTCACTATTGTTTTTTTAGCCAGGCATCTGTATATAAGACATAACCTATATATATATATAGATAGTATATAGCCAAGCATAGCCAAGCATCTCGTTGTACCAGGGCAGCTGCTGCTGCGACCTGGTTCACGGCAGGGCACTCCGAAGCTTCGCTACAAGGTGCAGTGCCGGTAGAGGCGATCGTCACTGCCACCTGATGGGGAACTGATTGGATGAGTGGATACATCATAGTACATACACACATCATATCATTCATCTATATACTTATCTATCTATCTATCTATGTATGTATGTCTGTCTGTATGTACGTACGTACGTATGGGATGGATGCATGCACACGTATACATCCTCATATTGCACATTCTCCAATAGACATCATGAAAGACAACGAAAAAAACTGGGTTCATCCCAGCAGACTCTATCCATTTGCTCAGCTCACATCAGATGAAGTGAACAGCCAGGAAATGTATGGAAATGTCATGAAGCATGGTGACCATGACTGGTGACCCAGGAATGACGGCCTGCAATATGAATGCGGCGTAAAAGAGCGCCGTGTCGGTATGCATGGTGAGGTGCCACAGCAGATTTGAGCAGCTGGATACTGCGAGTGAGACACACAAAGGGATGATGCTGACTATAAACACCTTGGAGTCTGAGATGATGATGATGATGATGATGGTGATGATGATGATGGTGAAGACATATGATGGTGATGGTGAAGACATATGATGGTGATTAATGGTGATTACATATGATGGTTATAATTATTATGATGATTACACATGATGATTATGATAATTATCATGATTGCATATGATGGTTATGATGATCATGATTATTGTGAAGTCTACCCTCAACATGATTGTGATACCTCCCCCCATTCATTTTTTACCGACCTGGATGGTGTTGGCTGCTTCACAGATTTTTCCACCACCAACGCTGCTTTTCTGTTCTTCAGGGAACCAAGCGAATAAACATCTCCGGGCAAATTGGAATAATTCCAAGACTAAAACCTGACTAGTAGGGTTATTTTCAAATGATTCCCTATGTATACAGAATGAACAATATATATATATCTACTATATAGTATCTATATATCATATCTATAGTGTAAATAGCATGTGTATATATATATGTATACAGTATTTCTTACATAATATATATATATCTATATCCAGAGAAATCTATAGACACACTATATAAATGTCTTTACACACAGCCTCTTACCAAAAAATGTCGAAAATACATCTTCGGCTTCCAAGCAACGGAGCTGGTGATGGAGCCGCGACCTCCTGATGTGGGTTACGCTGCTACGAAGATATCATAGTTTTTGGGATGAAATACTGAGATTTCCATAGATTTCTTACATCATATGACGTATTTTAGACGTATTGTCGTATTTACGCTGCATCATAATGATAATATTCTTGATCTATATACGTAAAATATGATTCAAAAGCAAACAGGTAAGAATGATAGAGTGGAAATAATGAACATCTTTGAATATCTGAAATAATGTAAAATGGAGTTGTTAACGAGTTCACACCATCCAAACTCGGGGTCAGTTCTTGCTATCAAATGTATCCACTAATTTAAAGGTGGAACGAAGCAGAATGGGGCGGTGCTGTCAGGATATTATCCAATATGTAATATGGACCTGTAAAATGGCGTGATAGAAGCATACAACGCAGGGATATGACCAACATTGACCAACTTAAAAGTTGAAATGAAAGGTGAAGTGTGCATCTACTCAACAAAAAAGGATTGTTTTGCCAATCTTTTTTCACGAGCCTCACGCTTCCAGCGATCTCAAGTATTGAATTTCGTAAGCAACATCGCACTGGTGGGTTGATACTCACAATGTACCCTCTGGTAAACGTTTACATAACTATGGAAAATCACCATTTTTCATGGGGAAACTCACTATAAATCACCATTTTTAATAGCAAACTGTTAGTCATTACCAGAGGGTAACTCACTCTTCATCAACCGCTTTTCGTGTAGCCCCCATCGACCTTGGTCCCAAGTCGACCCCTGACCCCACCTGAAAATGCCGAGCTTTTTTTGGGGGGATTCAACCGTGACACGGCCGTCAAATAATCAGTGAATCTCCATTGTTTATGATGAATTCCCATTATCTCCTCTGAGTAATCCCCATAGTTGATGGCTAAACATCCTGAGAGGGTCGTTTAGCCAAATATCTCCGAAAATGTTAAAACTACCCAAATCATTGGTAAATCCCGATAACACCCATCAATTTCCATCATTTTCCATTATTCATTGGTTAGATCATATTGAATCATGTTAAATCATGTTACCCTCTGGTAAATTAACATAGACCCTGGCAGTCATCGGGGTTGGAAGATGAGTGAAACCATTAAAACGATGCTAGTTTCAGGGCCCATGTTAATTTACCAGAGGCTAAATCCCAAGTAACTTGAATGTTAATTTCCACCATTTCTCCACCGTGGAGAGTTCAATTCCCGTGCGGTTCCGCCAAGTCCTTGGTGCCCTTGGTGCCTTTGGGACTCGCAGGACTTGCAGGACTTGCCTCCCTAAGTGGCAACTGGGGGATCAACATAACTCAACCCTACTTGGATCATCCAGTGACCATGGACCATAGATACCATAGATAACTGTGGTTAATAACCATTAATAACTAATAATGGTTAATAACCATCGATATAACTGGTTATCAATATTAATTAGCCATTTAAAAAAACCCATGGACAAAGGAGATTAGCCACTAAAAAAAACCAATCCCCTGGTTAGTAACCATAGATATAACTTGAACCATTCATAGATGGGATTAGCTAGGGGACTCTATTCTTGGAATATCACCAGACATTTTGAGAACGCTCCAGAGCTCTCCGACATCACATTGGGCAGGGTATAACAACCATTCCGGCGATCAGCCATGGGATATATTTTTTGAATGGGTAACCAACTTTTTTTTAGCCAGTATATCAACCTTAATGGACATGGGATATAGAATGGGTAACCCAGATTAACTGAGTATATCAACCTTCAGGAGGACAAAGAAGTTCCTAAACCACAATTTCTGAAGCCTTCCCCATCTCCGATTCCTGAGCTTCACGCTTCTTGCTGGGCTTTGCCGCCTGGGGATATGGGGATACAACACTGTTGACACGATATTTTGACAACAAAATTCAAGGGAGATATTTCCAACAGATATGTCATTGATATGTTTTCGTTGCAAACTCGTTGAAAATTAGCGAAGAACTGGGGATATCACCAAAACTTTAAGGATCGAACGATAGAACCAACTGGGAATTCCAAGCACCAGAGACGGAAGTCTGAGTTCCACTCAGCTTGATCTTTCGCAGAAAAAATGGCACGACAATATAATCATATATATGTATTTTACAAGGTCAGCCAACAATGTTACAATAACAATGGGGCTAAACCGCAATAAGCCGCTAAGCTCCTGATCCTTTTGAACCAACGCTACAGAGTAGTACGATGACATATGATACATGGTTTTACTGCAGGAGTTTTTACACCCCCCTCGGGCGAGCAGGGACGACTGCGGAGAACGAATAACCCAGAAAAGCATACCCTCGCGGGTAGCCAAATTTCTTTAGTTGGTTTTAGACATTTTTATGCAGTCTTTCAAAGGTCCCTCTAAAAAGCTCAAGCCCGTAAAACCCAGCGCAGCGTTGCAAGGAAGGCACATTACCATGCCACATCTTGCGCTATGCTACAAAAGAAAATCATCGTCTACCTGCGGTTCCAATAGATCCAACGGCCGCCGGCCTTGTCACGGTAATACCAAGCCCCACGCCAGAAACTCCATTCTCGGCGTGCACCATAGTGATCACGATTCCAACTCCAAGAGGCATCCGGGCGACCGGAGCTTGCAGCCTTCGAAGTGACTGTGCTTGCCGCTTTTGCAGTGGGCGGCGTCTCAGGCTCCAAGAATGGTCGTGCTCCTGCTTTGGATGTTGGTGGTTCGGGTGCAAGAAATGGTGCATTGTTGGGGTCAACTGGGGCATCAGCGTGCGAGGCGTCTGCGCGAGCAGAGCTTGAGGCGGCTGTGTCATCATGTGCGGTGGCGGATGCATCAGCTTCAGCTTTGCGCTTTCGCTCAGTGGTGGGCGCGACCGTGGGGTCGGCCTTTTGACCTCCAGGACCTCCAGCCTTTGCAGCGGCGCTCTGCTTCTCTTTGCGTTCAAGGTTGCCCCGAACCAATGGAAGGTTTTCCTCATACACTTTTTCGAGGAATTCAAGAGTGCCATCAAAAGGAACTTGGACGGTGCCCTTCCAGGTCAGCAGGCCACGGAATGCGCCACGACGGCCGATGTAGCTGACATATTCATCCTCTGTAAAAATGTGGCGGCCGAACATGAAACCCCAGACCTTTTTCCATGTTTTGCGGAACTCAACTGGGAACCCTTCCACACCTCGAGGCTGGGACATGAAAATCAACTTAGATAAGCAGTTTTCATTTTGGGCATTGGCGGCGACGCCAGCCGAGATCTGAGCTTTGGTCCTTGGGGGATCGGGGAGGTTGCCGTATGCGAACATGTCATCAAAGATGCATTCCTGCAGGCCCTTCCCCTCACCGTGGATGCGGTCGCAAAAAGTGACGTCGCTGGCGAATCTGTCTTCCACGTCCTCGTAGCCCAGCGCTTTTGCACGTCGATGCCTGTCGCGGCAGTCTTTGAGGACTGCTGATTCCACGGATGTGATTCCCCTGGGGCCCAGTTCCCGGCGAAGAAGATCGGCTTGCTCATTTGTCAAAGCCGTCAACAAGCTGCCGCTCATTTTCCCAAACATTCCGAACCCGGCGAGACTCTGCATTCGCCGTTCAAGGATGCGGGTCCTCCTGTTGGGTTTGTCGGCCTCTTTCGTTTCGCCACTTTCGTCCACTGGGAGTGGCTCATATCCACATGTGGTGCATGTCACTTGGCCACTGACGTACTCAACCTGGCAGAGGGGGCAGGAGCCCATGAAAGGTTCGCAGTACTTTGGTGCAATGTAAACACGGCGCGTCCTTGCGGGCGGCTGGTCAACTTGCATTGGGGCAGTGGCTGCATCATCATCAGTGGACTTGGCATCGGGTCGCCCCGTGCTGGTGTCATCCATTGGGTCGTCATTTGCATCATCTCGGGCAGTCAGGGTGACCGCTCTGGATTTCGGTGCTGAGGCTGATTCCGCGCCTGTCCATGAGCTGGGCTCGAGATTGCTCTCGGCGCGGGACCAAAGCACCTGTCCATCTTCTGAGATGCTGACCAGAAACTGCGGTGGGATGCGTTCTGAACACAAAATACCATCCATTTCTGTGCGACTAAAGATGACACCAGCTTCAACTGCTTGCCGCATTGCGATTTTGACTTCGACTGGACATTTTGCTCTTAATCCAGATCGATATCCCTGTGTGCCGATACAGTGTTCTGCCATGTAGATATGAGCACGGCCACTGTTGACTGTGTCACCGCCGCCTGGGATCAGGCCGTTCTGTGCGATGCTCTTCCAGCTGCTTCTCATCGTGCGATGAAAAACAACTTCAGGGACCTCAGTCATGGCACACAAGGGCACGCCAGTGAAGGCGGCTTTTCGCTCGGGGGAAACTTGGTTTGAGCAATACACCATGGTTGAATTGGCATAAAGACCCCCGGCGGTTTTCAAGGCAGCTTCGGAATGACCCTGAATTGCACGGATTTTCACAGGATAATACGGCATGCCTAGGCCATTGTCGACAGGAAAATGGGAGATCTTTGCACACAAGAATTGGAACCTACTCTTGCCATGCTTGTCGATCTTCATTGCGGTGCCAAACAGGTTTGCGACGGTGATGAAAACATCTGGGGCACTTCCTTGCGGAAGGCTTTGGCAAAATCCTCCAAGTCAATCCAAAGGTCTTTGTCCATTGGCACCTTGGCACAGGATCCATGCCCCCTGCAAACTTTGTTGACACGGGTTGCAAAATCGGAAAATTTCTTGTCGACACGAGTCTGGCCAGCAATGGTCTCAACGTCGGATGCCGATATCAGCTCCAGCTCATAAGCCGTACCTTCAAAGAGGATCCCGGGCACATCTTCCCCGTCTGCATTGGTCACCATTGTATATTGGTATTCAGGCAAATGCTCTTCCATCCAATATGCTTTCACGTGGCCGGATGCATGTTCCTCTAAGCGCGCAGTTGCCTGCGGCTGGTACTGGCTGGATGTGGCTCTCTTGTCATCTGCGGGCTCATCCACTGGTGCTGGTGCTGCTTTCGGTCGCGACTTCAACATGACCTCAGCCGTTTGGACCAGGATTGTTGCTCTGCTGGGTGCAGCGGGCTCGCCGTCGCCGGCGGCCTTTGGAGGGTCATCTTTGGGAGGCTCAGCAAAAGTTCCAGAAGGCATCGTCTTGGTGTCGATGTAGTCCTCGGTATCTGGTTGTTGAGCTTCAACGTCCTCCTTGGTGAATGACCTGCCCGTCGGCGTGATGTGTCTTCGGGACTCTCCAAAAAGCAACTTGGTGATGTTTGCACATGTCTCCTGATAGGATCTTGGCAGCTCGTCAAGGACGGCGCTCATGTTCCTCCGCAAATCATCCCATGTTTCCTGGCCACACTGAGTAAGCTCCAAACCAATTCGACCAACCCGCCATCCGCAATCAATTGCGAAAAGGGTAGCTGTCCAATAGGCAGCAAGACGCGTGCGATTTTCTTCAGAGTTGGCGAAATGCCACTGGTCTCTGAATTCCATTGCATCGGCGTACCCCTTTGCTTTCAGCCACGGATACTTCGGATTGGCAAGCCCTTGCAGGCTGCTGGTTAGAGCTTTAAATCTGGGCTCCAATGCATCAAAGAACTGGTCAAAGATAGGGTGGATGCCATAGTCAGCGGACCAAGGCGCGGTCGTGAGACCGGCCGACTGCAAATCCAACTCCCGGGCCTTGTTGACAAACCAAGTCAAATGGCGCTCACAATCATCCAGGATCGTGGGCCAGTGCCCGTTGGGGCCGTCGTATGGCCAATTTGGATTTTGGGCAATCCCATCCTCACCTACCAATTCATTTCCGAACCAGGACAAATGCAGGTTGATGCGGGCATCAGGATAGCGCTCGCGGGCGTCCGCGGCCAATTCAATCCCACGTTTGACCAGCTTCTGCAGAGTTTTGCCCCAAAGCATCTCATGGATAAACTCAGTCACATACTTAGGTTTGCGCTGCCGGTAATGCTCGGACAGGTCAAACTTTTTAAGTGTTTTCCTACGCCCTGTGATCAATGCACATGACGAGTCAGAGACTAAGATCCAGATTACTTCATTGACAGGCATCTCTGGCAACATGATCTTTTCGATGTGGGACTCCTTTGGCAAAAAGCAGAAGCTAAGGTATTCTGCAAGCGGATCCTCTCGACCGTAGAACCTCAGGGCCGAGGCCGGCGTCCATTCGGTCATCAATCCATCCACGAGGTCCTGAGCAGCCTGATTCTCACCTTCATTGCGCATGGCCAATGCATACAAAATGCGATTGTGAAGGAGCAACCATGCTTCTCTGTTAGCCTCACGTGTGGCTTCGAGCGCAGCCTCGCGGCTGGCCGGGTGTGCTGTGGCATATCGCGAGTCAGCCATTTTAGCAGGACAGGCACGAATGACAGCGGGTGAAATCCTTTTGGATGTTTGGCCCACCACAGCTACCCGGAAACACTCATGGAGCATGTCGGTCAACTTGAAGGTGTAGTTCTCAGCAAGTTTAAGAGCTTTGCCCCTACTTTGATCATGCTCATGTTTGCCATCACATTTGAATGAGTCTAACACTGCGAGTTCTTTGAAGTTTCCTGCAATAGTCCAACTTTTCTTCATTGGTTGACCGTTGTTTCCAAGAACACCCAACATACAACCATCGAAGTGATGAGTAGTCATGGATCGTTCTATGAGGAATTTTCTAACCATCGGCCATCTCCAATATTTGCAATTCTTGGACAGTTCAAATGCTATCAAGGTTCGTTCATCATGAACTTCATCCACAAGTTTGACAAAAGATTTGAACAACTTGGTAAACTGTTTTTGTTGCTCTTTGATTCTTTCTTGACCCTCAACAGTAAGGCCATTCACGTTTCCCCATGGGCTACCTCCAACACAAGGCAACGATGCATAAAGTA